CATGTAACCTACAGTCCACTCACTGACTAGCACAGACTTTCCTGCCTTGCCTCCTTGTCTGAGTGAATGATCACTTGGAGAAGGTGCAAGATGGAAGCTCACTGTAGCCATTGAGTGGGCAAGTGCAGAGAGGAAAGGCTGGGGAGGGGAGTGCAGTGTAGCCAGTGAGTGGGCAAGTGGGCAGAGGAGGTGGGGGAAGGAATCACATGATGCCTGTGGAACACCTGTGCAGCGCTGGGCTGAACCGTGGATTGTGCCTATCTCTAGTTATAACTTTGTTTCCTTTAAAAATTGCAAACAAATATTCTTGAAAAGTATTAATTTTTAAGCTGAAAGAAGCTCAGGGTCTGTAAAATGAAAAATATTCTTGGCATGATACTCTTTCAGGATTTATTTTTTGTACAGATCAGGACAGAAAAGCAAGGGATGAATAGAAGGTGGAGAAGGTTTTTCATGAATCGAACTCTGAAAATGACTAAGTGTCCATCCTACTTGAGCAGACATAGAAGTGCATTATATATATATATATATAAAGCACATACATAAGGAATAGGAATTCACTGCCCTGTTCTGAAAAATGTTTTCAGTCTAATGTTTAGTAGAAGAAAATAATGCCCTGTAATCACTGCAGCTCTGGGCAGAGCAACAAATGGAATAGGATTTGCAAAGTTTCCTTGAACATATGCACCCACTGTTGAAAGCAGCCTGTTCAGACAGCTGAACAAATAGCAGTGTGTTGCAAGAATGATTGTAAGAAAAACATTTGGAAGTAGGTAATGATCTGGCCTGGAGAGGGCAGCTGTGCTCCTGGAAAAACATCCTTTTCATTCATACAATATATCTTTTCAGATATTCCAGCTGAATAATTATCCTGTATTACATTGGCTAAACATGGCTCAAATTTTACCCCACAAGTCATTTTCACAACTGCTGCCCTCATGTTACAAAACTATCATAACAATCTGGTTCAGTTGTGAAAGGCAAATCAGTGTGGGTAATAAATATAATACAGAGAAAATACAGCCTGAATTTTGTGTTCAGAGAGAGTATCGGACAAAAGCTTGCTTGTCAAAAAGTATGCATAGTTTATGGTGCTCATTTTGATTCTGTAGATTTATTGGGTTTGTATTCTTCTAGAAAGTAACTCAAATTAGCTCTCACATACTCTCTTTCATACATAAATCTGTTTGGCAGCTCTTGGCATAGCTGTGGATATTGCCAACAAATGTGCTTGCTGGTATTACATTGTGGGGTAAATATGCTTCCTAGAGTGATTCAGTAGCTGTGATACCATACAGGTTTGGTTGATGAGAAGTTTCCACATCACTTCCACCATGGAAACTAAAAGTGGAGTCTTCTCTTCCCCTGCCTCCCTCACCCTTTTAATTCTTTCACAACCTTTGTTATGACATTTGTATATGCTGCAATTCTACTCCTCAGTCCTGCCTCCTTTTGATGTGTCTGTTTGCACCTTGTACCTAAATACAGTTTAGATTTGAATTACGGGGTGAACATGAATGGCAACTGTAGGGTTCTCTGTTTATTTAGTCTGTGGTTCATGGTTGTTATGTAATGGAATAGTTCATGCATATTAATGTTGCTGGGAGGCGGAGCCGAGGCAGATGCTATAAGAGGCGGAGCCTGGGTCAATATTTCAGTCATTGTGTAGAGAGAAAGAGACAAGAGTAATAGAGTGTGTAGTTTAGGGAAATTCTGAGGAATGATTAACTACTGAAGATATTCATGAATCTATGTAATCAATAAACCAAAGTTTTATTTAAAAGAACTTGAAGTGTGGACCTGAATCTTTCTGAAGTAAATGGTGATTTAGAGATTACCTGGTGGCAGCAAGTGAAAAGGGTGAAGTTTGTTTGCCTTCATGTGCTCAGAGGCTTGAAGGTCAAGCAAGGGGCACGAGGGTGGACGCTGCAGTAACTCCCTCTGTTTTGTTTACAGTTTACATGTGCTTTACTAAAGCAAAGGCAAAATGTGCTTATATACTTCGCCATAGCACTTAAAACACTCTCTGGATGGTTTACAGTTTAATTCTGCAGGCTACAAATTCCCCCTCCAAGTGAGCTGGGTACTCATCTTACTGCCCTTGGAAGGATGGAAGTCTGAGTCAACCTAGAGCTGGCTATCTGAGCTTGTTAGTATTGAACTCAGGTTGTGAGCAGAGTCTTGACTACCAGACTGCAGTTTAACCATTGGCTAAAAACTTACTAGTGCAGTCCAGCTGATTTGTATTTGGAGGAAAGAAATCATGTAGTGTTGAATGAGCTCAGTGACATCATCCAGATGAGATGGAAATGCTGATGGTAGGTGTTACGGGTACAACCTGGATATCTCCAGTTCTGGATGAGTTGCAGGCACTCTGATTGTGGATATCACTGCAAGGCAGCAGCAGTATTATTAGCATTTAGGTTCTAAATGTACTAATTGAATAGCTTAAACAATCTTAAAAGAAAGCCGATGTAGCCTTTGGAAAGCTGAACAGTTCTAAAGCATCCCCAGAAGAAGGATAGTGAGCCACTTTTGAGTATTCTGAACCTAGAAAAAACCTGGAAAGGGTTGCTCTAGGTGACCATCAACTAAATGGCATGTAATCATCATAATCATCATCAGTTTATAGATCTTTATTGTTTTAAATGTTTTACTGGGCAACAGTTCTGTAGCCTTATAGCATGATTAGAAACTGACTGTTGGCCAAAAAACAAACAAACAAAACAAAACAAGAGTACAGTGTAGGTGGGTCTGCCATGCATAGATTTGCTTGAAAATATAATACTGAGATACTAGACACGTATAAATGCAGCCTGTCAGTATTCTAAATGCAAATATTTGTCTGCTCATGCATCCCTGCCTGAACCCCTGAATTACTGCTATTTTCAATATATTGGGCTAAGTCTGTCCAAGCTAGAGTAGGCTTATTAAATGAGATAAAGTTATTATATAAGTAAGTCCCATTGATTTAAGGAGTCTATTAAATCTTGGGGCTGAAATTTTATTTAATTGAATGTTTTGATAGAATAGTTCTATGGTATGCATTCCATGGTATTCCATGATATACACAGGCAGTTCCATGGTATATACAGTATAGGCAATTCCATGGTATACATAGCAGTTTTCAGAGAGATAATTATGTCTAGCAAGACCAAAACAAAATGCTAAATTATTGTGGAACCTTTAACACTGACAGTTTTTTTCATGGTGAGCTTTGATGGGTTACATTCTCCTTCTTTAAATTCCTCTTAAGTAGTCTTATTTCGAAGTTGCCTTTGTAATTTCATAAACATATCACATGCATTCCAGGTCCATATCTGATACAGTAACACAAAGCCTTTAAAACAATGTAATGCCTTTTTAAAAAAGGAGACATTTTTACCTGATCTTTTTAAAATAGACTTTTCAAGTTTCTATCCAAATTTGGACTCTCTTTAATGTCTTTGGAACAGTTTCACTAATTTGCATTTCATCTTCTTTTAGTGTTCAGGAAAACTGCTTTCACATTTTCAGCTCAGTGCAATTGTAACTTGTTTCTATTGACTTTTCTTTTTTAGAAGTGCAGACTTAAATGTAATTTTGAGATGTACTAAAATAGAAGCTAATTCAATGTGTGCTTTAAGCCTTTCCAGTGAAAGATTCCAGTTTTTTTTTCTGCTACCATTGTTACGAACATAACATAATACATAATTTGGAACAAAGGTAATAATACACATCTGAAAACACTATGCAACACACTCTGCTTCTGATATAAATATTGTATTACTTTGAATTACTGAGACTCATTTGAGGTAGAGAGTACCTCCATGTATTGTTGTGCCAGCTACTTGTTAATGCTCCAAATAAAATAATATTAATCATACCTGAGTCACCATATGGTGGTAATAGATATTTCTGACTGAAGCTGCAGACAGATGTAGTAGCACCATATTTTAATAGGGCAGTTGAAGTATTCCCTTTTTATCTTGCCATTTCCAGGAGCTGGGAGGGTGCTGAGGGTCATAACAGTGTAGGAGAGAAAGAATATACATGCTGAGATGTTTGTATTGGGGGTGGGGAGTATGTTTATGTATACTGTCCCTGCTCTCCATTCAACACCATAAGGCAGCTGTAGGGGCTGGAAAAATGTATACCCCTTGTTTTTGGGTCTCGCCTGTTTGTTACTTTTTATTCCTGCAAGGCAGGGGTGGGAAACAATCCTTCCCATCATCCATGACCAATGGCCATGCTGGCTGCAACTTAATGAAATTGGCAATATCAATAACATTTGCGGGTAACAGATTCCATACCTCTGCTAAATAGAAGATTCAAAGAAAGGCTCAATGTAAAAGAGTCTGTGATAGTTTTCTCCCTGCAATAGTCTGAAAAGATGTCTGAAGAAAAAACATGCAGAATAGTCTTAAATGTGGTTTAAGAATACATAAACTTAACGTGTAATCCATATTGGACACAGTTGGATTTAACTTCTGCTTAAATCTACATTTGTATTGCCACTTTCACGTTGTATTCCTCAACTCAATGAGGCTTTCATGTAGATGTTAACAGGATGTGGAGTCCAACAGGGTTCTTCCCCTGGTGGAACTGCTTTTGTCAATCAATCTTCTCAGAATTCTATTTACATGTTTATTTGATTGATCTTCCTTTTCCCCAGAACTGCAACTCTGCAGTTCTTAATCTAGTATCCTCAAAGCCTACCCCAGAGGATTTGGAGCCCCTCTGGAACAAGTTTGCAGGCAATGCAAGGACGGAGTGGAGGTGGGGAGGAAGGGAAAGAAAGTCTTGTTGTACTAGCAGATATTGACTGGTGCAATGATGGGTTTAGACCTGGGGTTGCTTTTTTAAATTTTTGTTTCTTTTCTCTTTTACTTTAGCATCGTTAATTTTTTTTTTTAAAAAAAAATCAGTCGCTTTAAACTCTCTCCAGATTAAACGTTTCATGAATTGCTGGAATCCGAAACCGTATTTAACTTCTCTCCCCCTGCTGTTTATGTTTCCAGCTTCCAGCAGACCTCACAAAGATGCACCTCACAGATGGTCAACATCCACAGGTGACTCATGTCCCCTCAAGCCAGTCTGGCTGCAGTATTGCCAGTGATTCTGGGAGTAGCAGTTTATCTGACATCTACCAGGTAATTCTATTCTATTTTATTTTGGGGGGAGAAATGTGGGAAGAAACACTGTATGCTTGCAAATGTATAGTGTAGCTTGTTGTCAGGTGTGATTGGTATTTTCATAATTTTATAGTAGCTCAAAGCTTGCAAAAATAATAGCCAATCAAGTTTCCAACTGAAACTTTGATTTGTAAGGTAAAGGCTTGCCTATGGGTAAAATCAGTAAAATGTCTTATTTTCTGTGCAATACAAAGTAGAGCACAGTGTTTAAAATCCTGTTGCTTAAGTGTAGTAAATTGCAGTTAAAGTAGTCCAATTGAATCAGATGAGCTGACTCACCAATCCTCTTCCCCCCCCCCCATTCATTGGGCCTACTTTAGTTACAGCTTATTATGTTAAGCATCAGGATTTCAGCCAGTGATTCTGTACACATAGAAGAACACCTATGGTAACTAAAACTGTAGTGATGAATCTTTTAATCTTGGTTATCAGCCACCAGCTCTTGTGGATAAGGACAAAGAGAGAAATTAATCCAAGCTACGGAGATTTCCAAGTCTCCTAAAACCCCAAGCCCACTAAAGCTCAAATAAAATCAGCTAAACTGCCCCAGGGAACTCTCCCTAGCTTTGAAGCATTGACTGAGGACATGTTTTAAAAGGATGATCTTGAAGGAAGGCAATCTATGCTGGTGACTAGTTGGTGGATTTTTACATATTCTGAAACTCCCTTCCAAGGCCCTCTCTATGTTAATCTTCTGAAGGCAGACAAAAAAGGTCCTTTGTTTCAGTACTTATTTAGCTGTTTAGGCAAGGAACTTTTACAAATGTGTGCTGTAGTCATTTTAGGTGTTATATTAGCACATGGCAGATTGGAAAGGGTTTGATTTGAACCGGTTCTTCTTGTATTGCAATGATTGAATTTGTGGAGTTGGAAACTAAATCTGACTTCTTAATGTGAAATTGATGTGGTAACTGACAAAAAAGTTTGAAAGGGCAAAATTTTATATGCAGAAGCCTCGAGCTTGCACAGTTTAGTGGATTCAAGTTGTACTGTGACAAGGAGAGCTAATAGTGTTGAAATAATCAAATTAGACATTAAACACGCCTTTGTGGTATAATAGAACTCTTGCAAGATGCTGAGACCAAGAATTCTTAAATGTAGAGATATGTATCAAATTTAGGACATGGTGGTGCTGCGGGTTAAACCGCAGAAGCCTCTGTGCTGCAAGGTCAGAAGACCAGCAGCCGTAAGATCAAATCAACGTGATGGAGTGAGCTCCCGTCGCTTGTCCCAGCTCCTGCCAACTTAGCAGTTCGAAAGCATGTAAAAATGCAAGTAGATAAATAGGTACCACCTCAATGGGAAGGTAATGGCGTTCTGTGTCTAGTCATCCTGGCCATGTGACCGCAGAAACTGTCTTTGGACTGTCTATGGCTTGGAAACGAGGATGAGCATCGCACCCTAGAGTTGCACACGACTGGACTAAATGTCAAGGGGAACCTTTACCTATCAAATTTGGAATTTATTCAAAAACAAAGCAAAGTAGTGATTGCTTTGGAGCTTCAGATGTTTAAAAAGCTGGAAAAAGTAGTCTTGGAAGGATCTTTGTAGTAGAGTGTAGATTGATCCCCATGCTCCCAGTGGTTGAAGCCCTTTCTTTTCAGTCAAACTTTGGGTCCTTAATTGGGCTCCAGAGAGAAATTTTAACAAAGGATTCTGGGCTTTTGCTTTCTTCTTTTAAATTCAATTTCTGAAAGCCTTTTGTATTTCTCATTTTAAAATTGATTTTAAATGTAATAACTTTTAAACATTTGAATATGTTGCTATATTACATTGCAGTATTTAATATTGTAATTACATGGTACTGCCATTCTGTTCAGAGACCCAAGGTGGTTAGCAAGTGGTGGGGGAATGAAAGATTCTAAATAAAAATATTAATAATATTAGTATAATATTAGTATTTTAATTTATATTTATTTTAGTTTAACTGTTTTGCAGGTCACCTTTGATCCCTGAATTGGGAGAAAGGTGGCATATCAGTAAAGTAAACAAATTATGTCTGGTGAGCAAGACACATTTTCCCAGCCAAAGCATTCACCAGGTTGCTGCAAACTGCCAACTGCTTTCTGAGCTTCCCTTGAAACTTTTTGGGTCTGTTCAACTTTGTTTTACTGATAATGAAATATTGCCAATTTTAGTAGCAAATCTGAGGTTGATTCCTCTTTGTGAGCTTAGCTCTGTCAGTTAACTCTGTTAGATATAAACATGCATAGACTCTAGCTGTGAAATAATATTCAGTAGATCAGATGTCTGTCATATATTGACTAAAATCCCATTGTATTTTTTTTCCACTGGCATAATGTAATCAGGTGTAAATCTTAGTGGCAAATTGTTTCAAGTGAAGAAGGCAGCATAGGCATTTCCTGAATTGTGTAACTCGGCATGCAACAGCAAATGCCTATACTGACGTGCATTGTCATCACTGAGATTTGCACTGATTGTATTATGCTGAAAGACGTAACTAACAATATGTTGGCCCTCACTTCTGAGTTGCCAATATTATACGGTCCAGCCAAATTTAAGTACTTTTTAATCTTATTGATTTCAGTTGGGATTTATGTACAGTGGTGCCTCGCATTACGACATTAATTCGTTCCAGCGAAATCGCTGTAGAACGAAAACGTCGTAAAGCGAAAATAAAAAGCCCATAGAAATGCATCAAAACCTGTTTAATGCATTCCGATGGGCTGGAAACTCACCGTCCAGCGAAGATCCTCCATAGGGCGGCCCTTTTCGCTGCCTGTGCAGCGAGGAATCCGTCCCAGAAAACAGCGGGGGGCTCGTTTTTTTACCTGGCAGCCATTTTGAAACCGCCAATCAGCTGTCTGAAAATCATCGTTTTGTGAAGAATCGGTTCCCGAAACAGGGAACCAATCATGACAATGCGAAATTCCCTTATAGGAAACATCATAAAGCAATTGCAAAAGCGATCACAAAAAGTTCATCGTAATGTGGTTTTGTCATTAAACGGAGCGATTGTAAAGTGAGGCACCACTGTACTTGCTTAACATATCCATTGAAATTGATGGGAGCTGAGTGTTTAACTTTTGATCATGGTATCCTTTGTTTGTGTTAATTTCTTCATGGCTTGCCACATAAGATTTGCACTTTCAGGGGATTTATGAGCCGAATGATTCCCGTTCTTGGTGAAAACCTGCTGTAGCATTTTCTAATGTTTGCTGAGTTCCTGCATGAAAAGAATGTTGCTACAGTGGGATTCTGAGTATGGATTTTTCCTTTTCCTTATTTTCCTGCCTGAATTTGCATAGCATTTTCATGGACTGCAGAATATTTATAGGACATACTTAATTCTGTGTGTTGAGATGCTTAACAGAATTCCAAGTACCACTTTGGATTTGTAAGGTTACTGTACTGGAAAGGAAAAGCAAGTGGCTATTTCCTTTAACACTTTTGTTGCCTTGCTGGTACAACTCCCTCTTCCTACAGGATTCCAGATTCCTTGTTTACTTTCACAGTATATTTATGGAACACTGTGTGTGGAAAAGCAGAAGGGAATGACTGGTTTTCTTCCCTTGCCATTTTTTATGGCTCTGATTATTTGATCCTGAAGAAACTTTTGTCTAACAGAAGTCTAGGTTTTAGTATATACTTACACTGAATCTTTCATTCCACCTGTATTCAGACAACAAAGTGCTTTGTATTGTGCAATATGTCTAAACACATCTTGAAGGTTACTTTAGTCATGCATCTACTGTAATTTAGTAACTAACATTCAAAAGAGTACATCAAGCAACAGCCGCTGACCTTGTAGTAACAGATGTGTTTGAATAGTTTTGGCATATATTCCTACTTAGGAATATATTACATTTGTAATAGAAATTAAAAATGTTGTTTTCTGGGATACATACAGTAAACATTCAGTTGACAAAGAGTCTCTTATTTTTACATGTGTTAAGAGCTTGATCACCTTAGCTCTGAAGTAAGGGAAATTGCAGCTGTGAAGAGCTGTACCCTTAACAGATGTGTCATTCAGGCATCATGGATATGGCATGGTATTCTATGCCCTGCTGCCTTGGCTTCACTGGTACCTTGAAACTGGTACTATCTGCTAGTGGCTGAGTGGTAGACACAAGTTCCAGAGCAGCCTGTTATCTGGGATAGACACTAGGAACCTATGCAGCTAAAGTTATCATGTACTGTATTTTTCATTCCATAAGATGCATTTCCCCCTCCAAAAAAATGGAGTGAAAAGTGTGCGTCTTGTGGAGCAAATACACTTCTGCAAGGGCTCCCTGCAATGTCAGGGAAAAGCCCTTGGATACCTCCCGGGGGTCAGATCGTGGCAGCGGGGGACCCCCAGGAGGTCTCCAAGGGCTTTCCCCCAACATCAGAGGGAACTCCTGCAGACCTTCGAAGGCAAAAAGGCAGGGGAAAAGGATGGAAGATTCGAATTTCCCATCCTTTCCCCCTGCCTTTTTGCCTTCACGGTGGCAGGGGACCCCCAGGAGGTCTCTGATGGCTTGGAGGAAGCCATCGGAGACCTCCTGGGGGTTCCCCGCTGCCGCAGTCAGACCCCCAGGAGGTCTCCAAGGGCTTTCCCCCGATATTGGAAGGCAAAAAGGCAGGGGAAAAGGGCTGACTTCTGGAATTTCCATCCCTTTCCCCCTGCCTTTTTGCCTTTAGAGGTCTGCAAGGGCTCCCTCCGATGTCAGGGGGAAAGCCCTTGGAGACTTCCTGAGGCAAAAAAGCAGGGGGAAAGGGTGGGAAATTCCAATTTCCAGCCCTTTCCCCCTGCCTTTTTGCCTTTGGAGATGTCAAAGAGCTCCCTCCGATGTCAGGGGAAAGCCCTTGGAGACCTGCTGGGGCTCAGATTGTGGCAGTGGGGGACCCCCAGGAGGTCTCTGATGGCTTGGAGGAAGCCATCGGAGACCTCCTGGGGTTCCCCCGCCGCCACAAAGGCAAAAAGACGGGGAAAGGACAGGAAATTCGAATCTCCCGTCCTTTTCCCCTGCCTTTTGGCCTTCAATGTACTGGATTTTTCACTCCATAATTATCTGCGTCTTATGGTCAGGTGTGTTTTATGGAGTGAAAAATACGGTAACTGAGATTACCATCACAGGGTAGAAATGCCAAGCCAGAACCAGTATTATGTGGACACAGCAGGTGGTGGCTAGAGAAGTATAAATAGATTCTTATGCAGATCTACTTCCACATATTTTAAAAAGTGTTAGTATTATACAGTATAACTGCATGGAATTCCAAGAGATCTCACAGGTTTCCCACATCTACTTAGTTTCAGTAGAATTATAGACTTAGAGTCTCTCAGTCTGGAATCTCATGGGGCACTTACACATTATGATCCTTCCTTCCATACAAACCAGGCTGAATCATGTAGGGAGAACAACTAACACTTTCCCCTCATAATGTTGTTGGTCAAGTTTGGCGTTACTGTGAATCTAGTTCATTTATTTTACCCTTGTATTCCCCTGGGGCCATCTGTGATCCTAAGAGCCACCTCCCCCCCCACCCCGGAAGATTCTCAAGCATCAATAAGCATTATTGCCTTCTCACACTTACCTGCCTCAGCCTGAAGAACATTAGGAAAGAATATTAGAAGCTCCTCAGGGTTCCCCACCCACCAAACTTTATGTTTTGCTACAAGGCTTGCCATGTTACCTTGGCATCACACATCATCTCATAGATTCCCACACAGAGCTCTTATGAGGAGAATGTGAGAAGGATGCTTCCTTGAAGCACTGGATAAAAAGTGAGATGGTGAAAAATGAGTAAGTACAGTCATGACCAGAAAATATTGGCATTTTCTGACAGAATTGCAAGGATGCCAATATTTTTGGCCATGACTGTATTTGAACTCAATCTCAACTAGAATTCATTGAATCTTAGGAACTTAGAGAAGTGTTGACTTAAGTCCTATTTCATTCAGTGAATTTACTCTTGTTGGAATAAACAGTTGAATTTAGCTCATTATCTTATTAGTAACAAGGTAATTTTCTATTTTTGATTTAACAAATTAGTATAGTTAACATACATTAACTTATTCTTATGAAAGATGCATTTCCAGATTATCTATCTTTTTGGTAATTTATCAGATGTTTCTAGTACCATCTGCTTTAGGAACAAGTCCACAAATGCCATCTGCTTTAGGAATAAGTCCACAAATTAGATTGTACTTTACATTTTTAAAAAAAAAACATATAGAAATAGAAAATTAACGATATACACCTCCTTGGTAAAGGTTTTGTTGAAGAAAAACCTGCTCTCATACTGTACTTAATTGTATAAATGGTGAAGTTTCCCATTTTGAAACTGTTCATTGCTGCTTTATAGGCACTTTGTGTGCTAGCCATATAGAAATAAAATAGCATGCTGCTTTGAAAAACTATACAATGTGTTTCATAAAACACCGTATGATACAGTTTCCCACATCCAAAGTGATTCTGAATTTTTCAGGCTGACTTTGTCCAGCTTGATTTTAAATTCATCAGCATCACATGACATGACCTAGTTACAAACAACATACAGTATGTTTAAATCATGATTTAGATAAGCAGGCTTTTTTCATGCATTTCATTAGGATTTTACTTCAGAAATAACTAAAATGAATTTTTGTAAGATAGCACAAAGAAAACCCTTCATAGACCTAATAACCCACATGATTTTAATTAAATGTCATATGTTAGAAAAAACGTCTCTGATATTGTTGCATGATTTTAACTGTCTAGAGAGTTGATTAATTTATAGAACTAAAGAATTTCTACACCTTCAGAAACACTTAATATAGAAGATACAGTGTGAATTTTTTAAAACATTTTTTCTTAATTGTATCATGATGTTGGTATCTTATATTACTTATATATTCATGTATCATACTTAGAATGTAACATTTGGCTTTCACGGTCTGTGTCCTTTAGAACAGGGATCCCCGTCATGGCAGGACCAGGCTGCAGAGACAGATCTCCTGCACCCCCTCACGCACTTCCTCACACACCCCATCCGCATGCGCGGCCCGCCACTTGCACTCACAGGTGCCCCTCCGCTCTGCGTGTGAGTGCGCCCCTCCCCTCCGTGAGCCCGCCCCTCCATGCATGCACATGAGCACTCCCCTTCCCTCTGTGAACCCGCCCCTCCACGGGGTGTGCTCTTCCCCTCTGCACATGTGCACAAGCATGCCCCATCCACGAGCGCAGGGAGGTACCCTGCCCCCCATACATGGACCCAGCCCCCCCAACCAGTCCGCAATTCAAAAAAGTTTGGAGGCCACTTCTTTATAATATACATATATGCAAGTGAAACATTACTGCTTTTCTCTACTGGCCTTTATTAAACAATGATAGCTTGCTTAATTATTGGGCAGCCACAATGTGTTTGATTAATCTTTGGTAACTAAAGATAGTTCACTGATTTTATGTGCAGGCTACTGAAAGTGAGATGGGAGATGTAGATTTAACTGGTCTTCCAGAAGCACCAGTAGATTCTGAAGATGATGAGAAAGAAGATGAAGACATTGATAGAACTTCAGATCCTCTGCTGGGGCGAGATGTTGTACGGGAATGCCTTGAAAAAGAACCTGCTGACAAAACAGATGATGATATTGGTGAGAAGTAAACAAGGTGGTTTCTTTGAACGAATCAACCATATCTGTAACAGGTTGTCCATAATACTGTGCAAGTTAATTTAAAGGTTGATGTCCTGATGATGTACAGAGGCATGCACACGCTCATATGTGAAAACACACACACATACTGAATGAATTAATTCAGTGCCATTAATTATGTAGCTAAAATGGTACTGCCTGTACACAAGAAGAATGTATCCATAAATTTGGGGAATCCTTGAAATGGGCAGAAATACAGAGCGTTGTCAGAGAGAAAAAACACATAAGAGGTGGAGGATAATAAACTGCCACAGGCTGTATAAGACAGTTGGTTATCAAATATGAGTAGGATTCCAGTAGGACCCAAACTTTCAGGCTTACAAATTGGTCCATTATTTTTTTTTTAAAAAAGTACTTCCCTCCTTTTATCTTTACAGAGTGGCCAGAAAAGTTTTAAACTGGCTTTGGGTCGAAAGAACCATGAACAATAAGAAAACCATTGTTCACACAAATATCCAGGTGGTTTGCATAGTGCTCTAATACTTAGGTTCTGCAGCAGTTCTGTTTCTGCTTCCAAAAGAGGTTTCTCTTTCACACACCTCTATAAAACCTCCTTTTAGCCTAACTCATTGACAGCATCCTTGTGGGTAACATAGGAAAAAACAGAAATCTAAGGTTGTTATGTGGAACGTTTAATTTTTATTAGCGTACAAGGTAGTTAGTATAGTATAGCCCTGTTTGGTTTCTAACATATAGTTATTTTTGTCCTGCTAGAACAATTGCTGGAATTCATGCATCAGCTTCCAGCATTTGCAAACATGACTATGTCTGTGAGACGAGAACTGTGCTCAGTGATGATATTTGAAGTGGTGGAACAAGCAGGAGCCATCATACTTGAAGATGGACAGGAAGTAAGTAGGGTATAGTGACATGAAAATGATGGTACAATGCCGTCAGCCACTTGTAGCATAAATATACTGTAATAATCTGCTTTTCCATTATGCAGAAAAGATCAACATGTTAGCATACAGAAAGTGTAGAAGCTATGCTTATCCGGTGCTATCACACATTATCAAAAGCGGTACTGTCCCTACTGCTAATGTGCTCAGATCCTATCTTATTGCATATGCAGAAGCCTATTTATCCCCAAGCAAAAGCATTTTTGTATTTATGTTTCTACCCTTAGATACAGATTCTAAGATGTCTGATACATGTTTTGTACTCTAGTGACGATAACACATCCTGAAAATATCACCTGAGGTTCAGTGTCATTCTAAACCACACTGTTAGATTAGGATAGCATCCAGCAGCTTGTGATATTGAAATATGTATTCAGCACATTCATTTTTCCGGGAGCAGGCTACATCAGTCTGTTTGACTTAAACATATTTGGCTATTAAATACAAAGGTTAATCCAACCACAGCAGAAACATAGCAGAAGGAATAGGCTTGCTCTGCCCACTCTGACTCCTCTAGACTGACTAGAGCCCTGGGACAAAGGGACAGGAAGGGGCTAACCTGCACTTTTCAGATTAACCCTTCTGTCGGACGTCTGAATAAGGTTATAGTATAACACGAAATTGATCATACTTCAAACTTTTTTCATTGTCAGAAAGACATATTTACTAAACCTCTAGTTTAGGTGATAGCTGACTTTTGAGAAGATGATTGAGATAGTTACCCTTTCTTTTTTCCCCTAGTTGGATTCATGGTATGTTATTTTAAATGGCACTGTGGAAATCACCCATCCAGATGGCAAAACAGAAAATCTTTGTATGGGAAATAGTTTCGGAATTACACCCTCACTGGAAAAGCAATACATGAATGGTGTGGTTAGGACCAAAGTAGATGACTGCCAGGTAAGATAACTTTGAAGTAATACATTATACCTTGGGCATTTAATTCTTATAATGAAATAATAGAATCTCTGTACCATTTAAATTCACATTCTAGAGATTAAATGGATAATCTTCACTTTTTAGTCAGCTATAAACGTTCTTATTGTGCTAAGTGCTATAATCTATTAAAGAAAGAGGAACAATACTTTGCTTTCCTTCTGTTTTCATAGTGTTATGTGGACTGTGGTCTAGTGAAATTAGCTTGCAATAGTTAAACAGAAAATAAGCACTTCAATTTCTCCAGTTCGTTCTTATTTAAATGTTGTTGCTGTGTATGTGTTTCAGTTCATCAGTGGACTTTTTTGCTTGTATTTTCATTGTCTTGCTTTTATTCTGGAACAGTTTGTGTGTATAGCACAGCAAGACTATTGGCGAATTCTGAACCATGTAGAAAAAAATACACACAAAGTTGAAGAAGAAGGAGAAATTGTTATGGTAAAAGAGCACAGGGAACTGGATCGTAGTGGAACAAGGAAGGGGCACATTGTCATTAAGGTGAGCAAAAACAAACCTTACAAAGAATTCGTCTCTCAGTTTACAGAATTATTCCATTTTGCATTACTTTTAGAGTGAGATTCTGTAGTATAAATGTAGTAGTCTTATCTTCTATTGTTGTGCACTTAGATGACTGTGTGTGTTAAATAAAAACAGTGTGCCCCTGAAAAATTAGGGGCCATTCAACATGGCAGTCTTTTGAAGTCTTTATCTGAGTTTGCATAAATAGATGCAAGGCATTCCAAAAAGAGACTTTGTCTAGGGTGAAATTTAGAAATTGAGTGTTGATGTTATATTCTTAGAATGTACCTTCCTAATGCTATTATGAAATGACATGTTGTTTGTCCCGAGGTATTTATTGCTTTTATTCACAGCAATAATACAAATGATGCTTTACCATTTTTATGCTTTCATTTTAAGGCAACACCTGAACGTCTCATTATGCATTTAATAGAAGAACACTCTATTGTGGATCCGACATACATTGAAGACTTTCTGTTAACGTATAGAACATTTTTGTCAAGCCCTCTGGAAGTTGGGGACAAACTCTTGGAGTGGTTTCAAGTAGACAGTCTCAGGGACAAGGTTGGTTCCTTAATTAGAGACTATCAGTTAGACCTTACACTGGAAATGAATGACAGTCTTGTTTGTAAAGCCTTCTTGAATTGCATGATGAATGTTAAAACAATTAGTGTCAGTACTGTGAAAAAGAGCTTAGATCTTCTGAAGAAAGATTCTGTGAATAAAATTTGTAATAAATAAATAAATACAATAAAGAAATAATAAAAACATACATATTTTGTACATAGTGGGTTAAGAACAAGCAGAATCCATAATGGCACCCATTCAGGAAAACACATCATTTCCAAGGGCTCCATGATCATCTGCTTTTTCAACATATTCTTTTCTCCTACTAAAACCTTGAGACATTGGTGTTCTTTTAAATGGAATTGTGAAAACTATTGTGTCCAGTAAACATCTGGGTGATGGTGCAGACTTCTAGTTAATGGAAACTGCCTTGAGTGCAATAATAGTCTCTGCCATTTCTTATATACAGAGATTATTTAAATAAAGTAGGAGGTGGCTTTGTTTGCAGATTGGTCATAGCGTGTACTTTTGTCGTAGAGTGTGCTTGAATAACTGGGCAGTTATTAAAGATCATCCTTGCAGGGTCTTTGGGGGGGCTAAGCTTTCTGATTTCCCTTCTTAAGGAATGATCTCCCCAAAGAGATCAGCCTGCCATTGTCAGCAGTAGTTTTTGGACTCCAGGCCTAAGCTCTCCTTTATTTATTTTATTCTTATGCCTTCGTTTTGGTTTTCATCATGGGCTCTTATACTGTAGTTTAATATTTTAATATACTGTATTGATAAAAATGTGGCTTTTTCACTTGCTTTTATTGTAATATTTGCTATTTGTGATTTTATACTGTGGATTTTATTGGCTATCCTGGCTTTGTTATTGGCCAGTGCGTCCCCGAGGACTTCACCAGCTGGGTGGTATATAAATGTTTTAAATAAATAACTAAAAATACATGAATTGGTTTAAAATTTGTGTTCAAGCTATATTAAAGAGGTATGAATTTCTCTTCGAAAACCTCTCACATTGTTTTCACATATGTACTTCTCCTTAGGTTACTCGAGTTGTACTGCTATGGGTGAACAACCATTTTAATGATTTTGAAGGAGATCCAGCGATGACAAGATTTCTGGAAGAATTTGAGAAAAACCTGGAAAATGCGGTAGGGCCCAGGATTAGCCGTTTTGTTGTATATATTATCAAGTATTTCCCTTTTTAATGAAAAAAATTAAAAGTTATTAATGTGATAACTAACCCTGGTTTTAACAGTGTATTTTTTCCATGCATTGTGGAAAAGTCTGTGTAGCCCAAATATACTGCTGTTTCTTTTGTATGGTTCAGGCAAATAGCTGGGGATTAGGGTGATCAGAATGGGTGGTGCTGTGAGATATCATGTACAGTGTTTCATACGAGTTGCTCTCTCATTCTAGATATATTCATATGTCTGTTTTCACAATGTACAGAAAATGAAGGGGCACCTCAGGTTACTTAATATTGCCTGTGCAGCCAAGGCAAAGTGGCGACAGATCACATTGCAGAAACCTTCTCGAGATTCCCCACTTCACTTCAGCCTCCTTGGAGGAAGCGAAAAAGGGTTTGGTATCTTTGTAGAGACAGTGGACGCTGGAAGCAAAGCAGCAGAAGCTGGGCTTAAACGTGGTGACCAGGTAAAGTGAAATGTTGCCCATCAGTTATGCTCTGATATTGTATTTTGGTTAGGATTAATATAGTCAACTGGTGGAATTTCCTTCAGTTATTTGCCTTAATGACCTGGTTTAGATAGCATAGCCAGATCTCAGCTACTTTCGTGCCTTTTCCTTGTTTGTGAAACAGTTGTTTGTTGTGTCATCCAGATTGAGCAAAGTATGGTTATGGCTGCCTCCGGATCAGGGTGAGGCTCCTGTATGAAAACATTCTTTTGGTTGTAATTTGGAGGTGGAGCATCTGACTGTAAACATAACAGACCATGCTCTTGGATTCCGCAGTAAACTATAATTTTGGCAAAGCAAGAAATGATCAATGAGGATCCTGCAGAATGTTTATAATGTTCAAGACATGGTTTTATAGTGATATTGGAACTGAGCCAACTCCTTTCTAGAATAAATTTCTTACAGAAATACAGGAGGTAGAGTCTTATGAATTCTGTTGGTAGTAAAATATAAATGAACCTTGAAAATGGAAGACAAACATATACTAAACCAGTGTAAGCAAGAAAAGTATATGAATCTATCTGTTTGTAAAAGCACTGGTGTTCTAAGGTAGTTAAGAAGCACAGTTTATAATATACAGTATTTATAAAATGATTTCCATTTCAGAAAATGTACATTAAGATTCCATTGTAGCAATGCTATATCTTTAAGTATAATATAGGATTATTTTTCCCTGTATTGTCTTAAAGGTGATGGAAGTAAATGGACAAAACTTTGAAAACATTACATTTGCAAAAGCTGCTGAAATTTTGAGGAACAATACTCATCTTTCCATCACTGTGAAAACAAATATTTTTGGTGAGTACAATGGTATGGGCATAAGTCAGAATCTAAACACAAAAAAGGATTCTGCTGAGTAGACCAAGTGTTTGATATTGTCTTCCAATAAATGGAAGAGACCCTCAATCAAACTGCCTAAGCTGCTTTTGAAACCAGCATCACAATCGGATGAGATACCTTATATGTAGCAAAGAGAACGTGGTGGAAACTGCTTTGTCAGAACTGGCCACATGGTTCTTTGGATCTACGTCATTGACTCTGTTTCAGAGACTTAAAAAGTTAAGTCATCCTGTGTAGCCTGGGCAAGCTGCATGGTCCCAGAGCATCCCCAGAGGAAGGGGCTGATAAAAATACCTAAAAATTGTGAAAAGAGTCATCATATGAGTCACAGTCTGAATTGGCCTGATGGCATGTAATTATTGGATATATACCATGGATTACTGCAATGGTTCACCATGTAGTTCAGTATTAAGTGGAACATGCTCTTAGGTGCTTCTAACAGCTATTCCAACTTCTTTTGAACCCACTTACTCTCCCTCTCTGCCTATTTCTATTCTTTTACAGTTTTTGTTTAAGAATTACCTTACGTTCATTTACAGATCTTCAGCTATGTGTGTGAGAGTGTGCAAAAACACTAGCATACATTTTACTGTTGAACTCTGAGGTGGTTTCCCCCCCTGTTTTCATCAAGTATTTCATCTTCAAAGCAGTTTGTCTGCTGGAAATGTAATTTCGTGGCCCTGCTGAAGGCCTTAAGAGGAACTTTTACTTGTTGCTCTGCTTTTTAAACATTGAGTCCTTTGTTCAGTCAGTATCATCCAAGGTTCCATCCCTCCAACTGAATTTTAATTTCCTCTGAAAAGGTGTGTATGCATTTATCACACCACTGTAGGCTGAATTAAAGTCATGCAGCACAAATTGATTTGCTGCTTGTGTATGGCATGAGCTGTCTATTCAGGAAGTAAAATTTGAATTCAGTTTTGGATGGTTTTCCTGTTCTGTAGCAGTGAGGGGGGAAAAGCATTTGATCTACAAACTGTGCTTTTGTCTCAGGAACCTTAGATGTACAATACAGGACTTAGCAAAATTGTGTGACACTACCTTACTGACGATGGGAGGTTAGCAAAACTACTAATTTTGATCCAGTTGTGATCAAAAATGTGTACATTCCCTGCTGTTTAAGTGTTGTGTGTGTGCATGTGTATGTGTTACATGCCCCAAGATGCTTCCAGCTTATGCCATCCCTATGCATTAATTACTTCTAAAAGTGATATCATTAACAGTCATACTAAAGTCTTGCAGATGAAGACTTGCGGTTTCTCCTGCTGAATTGATCCATCTCATGATAGGTCCTTTCCTTTTCCTACTGTCTTCCACTTTCCCCAGTACCGTAGTCTTTTCCACTGAGCCTTGTCTTTCTAATTATGCACCAAATTACAATAGCCCATGCTTAGCCATTTTAGTTCCTAATAGAGTTCAGATTTTGTTTGATCTAGAATTTACTTTTGTCGTTTTCACAGTCAACTACGTGTATTAAAACTCTTTTCCAAAAACATTCCTTTTCAAAAGAATTGATTTCCCCCCTCTTCAGCTTTCTTCATTTTCTAGCTTTCACATAGTAATTAGAAATAATACATCCTAAACAATCTTGACCATAGTTTGCAGCAACACATCTACAATTTTAAAGTTCCTTGCCAAGTGTTAAATCATCATGTTTAATGTTGTATGCATAATATGTAAGCCAGATCTGATAACGTTTAATATTTAGGGGATTCTGTTAAATCGCTCAGAAAACCCAAGGGTCTGCAATGACACAACACGTTTCATTATGACATTCACTTATTGGGTCCATATATTCTGGTTCCTCTTCAGATTGCGTAAATCTTATTTGGATCCTGACACCCTGATTTCTTTCCACATGTCAAGATCACAGCCAGTACTTGGGGGTGGATCTTGAGAGCATGTTCCCTAATGCTAGAGTGTTTGTTTTGTTTTGTTTTATAGATTTTTGAGTATACTGACCCTATGACTTAATGGCCAAATTCCTGTTGCTTAGTGTAGTAAATTGCACTAAAATGGGTCCATTGAATCTACAGGGATTTAGTGAGTCAATAACTCTGTAATTTCTATTGATTCAAGTGGACCTTCTTCAGTTGGAACTATGCTAAAGTAAGTCAAGGTAAGAGTAGGCTCATTTGAATCAGTGGGACTTATAGAGGAGTTGACTCACCGAATCCACAGTGGGCCAACTGTACTGTAATTTAGTACACAAAAGAACAGTAATCAGCCAGTGTATCAATATGAACTTCACACAGAATTTTAACATTATTCACCAAAAAGCCATTCTCTGCTATGAAAGGATACAGTATTTGCTTTTATTAACACTTTCAAAAGTGGCCCTGGCCTTTCCTTAAAACCTTTCCTCAGCCTGGGGTAATAGATTGATTAGCATTTTCAGACCAAATCTCTTTCAACTGAAAACTAACTGGACTGTTTTGCAAGCCAAGCCCTATCTAGGTTCACTCAGATCTGATCCCTAACTGGCTTATTAATAACCAGAATCTCACTGGCTTCTTCATTAAGGAGCCCCAGCCCTCTTCTAACCTGCTCTGGTCTAAATCCTCTCAGACAGTTAAGCTATCAGACTGCTCATTCTGAATCTCCCCTTCTGTCTTTAAATTGTCTGTGGCTTTTCAATGATGTAATTGGGTAAGAAATCTTCTGGCAAATGGACCACAAACTTATCAGTGATAACTTGAACCACATATTTCATGAAAAACAACAACAGAGAGAGCCATGCAGTCCTTATATAATGCAAATGTAAGAGACAAAAAAAATCAAGACTATCAGTGTGAGCTTTTATGGTTAAACTCCAATTCTTCAGGCATGCATCTTGTGGACAATGTAGAAAAAATATAAATGATCCAGAGAGATCTTTCGCCTCATATTTCTGTGTACCCCATTACATTTCAAGTCATCTGTGTACTCTGGAGCTACATTCCTTAAAAAGTGAGTGGCTGTCATCAGAATGGAAAGTAAGCAGTTTTCTAGCCATTGTCTTTTCCAGAAAGCTCCCAGGAATCCCAGACAGTATTTTTGGATCAACTGAAAAAGAGTAAACTTGAAAAAAAGTAAACTAAGATTGTATTGAACAGCTTTAATGATAGAATGAAGTATTGTGTATAAGTGTAAAAATTATCTACAAGTAGCATAAATATATATATTTAAAATAACAGAAAGTAGAACCGCACACTTCCCCTTCTAAGCCACCTCAGTGAATGAGGGAGGGCGAAGAGTATAGGCGCTAAGGACAGGACAGGAGCTGTCTACAAATGACAGACCAGATTTGTGTCTCATAGGACTGCCATTTGCTCCTCTTTAAACTGACCATTTTAAAATGAAAACACCATATGCAGACCAGGTTCCAGGTATTTTCCATTTAGAGCCTGCTGTTCATGTACAAGTTCTCACCCAGAGCAGAACTTGTATGTGGAGAGTTTGATGTCTGTATTCTAAAATATGCATGAGTTAAACAGTGCTGTTTCATTTAATTTTCTATGCATTTTTAAATGTTGTATCTCAAGCTAATGCATATATGTATTAAAAGGCTTAAAAGTAATTCCTGGTGTTGAAGTAGGAATAAAACCCTTGTTTGGCTCCTGAAAAGTGAAACTGCTATAAAACTTGAAGTGGTTAAAATGTTGTCTTCAAGGTTCAGGAAAAAAGGGTCTGATACATTAATGAATTCTCAGTAGTTTGGCATTCTTTTTTACAGTGTTCAAAGAGCTGCTTAATAGGATAGGGCAAGAGAAGAACGGCATTCCACATATTCCCAAAATAGCAGAAAAGAAGAATAATCGCTATTCCATCCCAGATATTCCTGGAGATGTGGAACAGATGTTTCCACGTGAGAAAGGAACCAAGAAAATGAAAGCAAACACTGTGTCTGGTGGAAGAAACAGAATCAAGAAGATTTTAGACAAGACACGATTCAGCATCTTACCTCCAAAACTATTTAGGTATTATGAAATATTTCAGTACCATGTTTTCATAAACTGGAATTTTAATTTGATGTGGGTAACCTTTCATTCTATTATGAGAACTACTGTTGTTCAATTTCAGAGATGCATTTTTCATCCCTTTCATATGGTTTCTACAGACATTAAATGAAATTGCAGTTCGTTATTCCCTTCAAACAATATATATTGTTTGAAGGGAATAATGAATTGCAATTTCATTTAATGCCTGTAGAAACCATATGAAAGGGATGAAATATGCATATATATATAGTTTGAAGGGATGGAATGTCTGACTTTAGATACTTTTGTTGAGTGTTAACTTTTGGTCCCTTGCATGCTAGGTGAAGGAAAGCTGTATCAGAGCACTGGTAGTTGCAAAAGCAATTTGTTTCTTTAAAGCTGCTGCCTTTGACAGACCATCTTTTCTGCCTTTGCTGTAGCAGTCAAGGCAAGAAATGTCTTGATACGTATATATAGTGAAATCCAAAGCCACACAAAAATAGGCTTTCTCATTCAATTGCCAACAACACCTTTACACAAGTAGCAAAGGCCGCAGACAGTAAGCAAAACTAGCTCTGGGAATGATTAGATAACTAATTTGGTTTTATCTTGAACACAGAATGAACCACAGCTTATTAGCCAGAAGAAGTGTACCTTTTTAAAAAAGGAGGAACAACCATGAAATGTAGTAAGTCAGTCGCTAATAGAAATTAGCACTGAGTCTGTTTCATCTTTTTGGAATGGTGGTAGCCTTATTCAGATATAAATTAAAAGTACTTGCATATACACTTAGTTCCATGCGAAATAAACACTGATCTTCGATAACATCCATGCTACACCCTGCCCCAACATACAAAAACACCTGCAAACACAATTTCTATCCCAGAGCTGCAGCTATATTGAATTCCACTGTATAGTGCAATATTAAATGTATTGTGCGATGGGAAATTGAATGTGAAGGATGTGGATGTAAATGAGAGGGATGTGTTTCATGTGTGATGTGCTATGTTTTCATGTTATGGATGCTATGTTATGTGTACTGGAGATGGCATTTAATTATATTGTACAGAGTACTATGACAATAAAGTCAATTCAATTCAATAGGGAAACTTTTGCTTTGTGTGTGAAACCTAGCACTATTAGAGTTTGTTTGGAAATTAGATGAACATTTTCCTATTGAGACATTAACATTGTATATAGGACTACATAGTGTGTTTGTGCAGACAATGCTGCTTGATAAAGTCAGGCAAGTTTATGTGTCCAAGAGAACAGATTAAATTGTAGCTTATATCTTGATCATTAATATGTAAGAAGCTTCTTAAATTTTGTTATAGTGATGGCAGTGTGAGCCAGTCTCAGGATGACAGTATTGTGGGCACAAGGCAATGTAGGCACAGTTTGGCCATTATGCCTATTCCTGGCACACTTTCATCCAGCAGTCCTGATCTCTTGCAGCCCACAACCAGCATGTTGGATTTTTCTAATCCTTCAGGTAAAGTAAATTGTCTAATATGTATCTTACAAAATCTTCCACCCTGTTGGCTAGATCATATTGGCTGTTAATTGTCAAGTTTCCCAGCAAGTTTTTCAACACAGCAGGATAATTTCATATATGTCTGGTTAATCAAACCAAGAAGTTTGGTACAGATGCAGTGATCTGTGACTGAAAAATCTGAATGAACCAGGTATCATTCTCTGCAGTTTAGCAAAACACTTTCCTGTTCATCTACAGAGAGTCACTTGGACCCTGAGGTCAGGATTGTGGCCACTGGAACAAGCTATAGTCTTTTATTTCCATAGCAATCGTGTTCTTTAACATGTATAATTGTAAAATATAAAAGAAACAGAATGAGAAGATTGCAGAATTTGAATCAGAATTTAAAAATTACAGAATTTGAAGTAAAGTCTATGTTGATGCGATAGGTTATGAAACAATTTTTATTTACATTTCTATGGATTTCTATTATTTCAGCTGCATGTGAACTTGATACTAGGTAGTAAGTGTAGTTTTAAAGATGCTTTTTCTAAGATGTATACTTGCATAACTTTTAACTCATGCTATCAATGTAATTTCTGACTTTTCCCTTCTTTTTCATCTTGCAGCAATTGGTTTTTACTGTAAGTATTCCGGTCAGTGGTAACCTGATTTTCTTTCATGTTTTCAAAGAAATGTGGGTTATTTTTTTTAAAAAAAATTGTTCTTAACATTGCCGTTTTATCTGAATAGTTATGATGAAACTTTTCTCAAAATGTAAACTGAATGTGCCTAATTCCATTGTCTGCTTTTGACATACATGCAAGGGAAAGTAGCTTGATTCAGGAATTCAGGACTAGGTTAAGCTGGACCCACTCCTCTCTTCATGTAGAGAGTGATAGGTCAAAGAGGACAGTTTTCTCTCTGTGTGCAACATCTCCACCTAGTTGGAAACACTGATTTTTTTTCAGTTTCAAAGCCACATGGAGAGCTTATAAATTTATCTTGAGTTGTCCAACATTATTATGAGTATAAAATTGGTGAGGGGAGGAGATGCAGGCTGTCTTTGAGCTTTAATTTATGAAAAATATATACTGTAAATCAGATGAAAAACTTAGGTCTCCATATTTTGTTGGACTACAACTTTAGTCATTCATACCCACTGTCTGTGCTGCTGGAGATAATGGAGTTTGGTGTCCAACATCTGGAGCTACAAGGCAGGCATATTTAATAGGTTCAATTTTTAGTGTCTTTCGTGAACAAAAAGAAGCAGAGACCAGTTTTTGCCCATTCCTCCGGCATAGCCTTACACTTCCTTTCTCTTTGTCATGGAGGCTGTCCCCACTTTCTGAAATAACTCTTCAAAGGCAGAGAAAAGCAGGAGGAACTGGTGAAATCAACTCCGTTTTTCCTCTAACAGGAGAACCTTATGAGCGAATTCCAAAGAGTTTAAGGATCCTAGTGTGTAAATAAATAAATATGCCTGACAGCAACAGTTTGCTGCTCAGTACTTTGAAACTTTTAAAAGCAATTGTATTAATGCAACACATAGGTACTTTATTCCTTTGTTCCAAGGAACTGATATTTCTAGGTTCCTTCTCTTGTTAAATATAGTTACAGATCTAAAATTAGTTGATTTTTGACAGGTTATGCTGTTGAGAAATTGCTATCATTATTTACTTACTAGGACTAAATGTGAATGAACATGGCAGGAATTACTTATGGTGAAAGATATAAGATTGCATTTTAAGCTATACCTCAGCAAGTATGTGAGCACAGCTTTGCAAAACCTACTATAAATTCTTTTGTTACATCTCATACTTGTCCTTACTGGCTGTAGAATGCTGGGAATTGTTGGCCAGAAAAATGGAACAGCTTCCATTTGCGGATTTTGCTCACTGACAGCTGAAGTGAGATAGTATATGGATCACTCAATTATATATTTTGTTTGCATATTTAAATCAACTCAGTCAGAGATACAGTTACAATACACCCTGAATTTTAATCCAAAACCATCATTGTATACAATTAGTATTTTATTGTCTTTCAAAAGTAGTTTCAGAAGAAAGTAGGGGTGTGGTTATTTGCATCATAGAGCAGTTCATGCAGTCAATTTGAAACCTTTGTGTGTGTGTGTCTGTAACAGTATTAATTTACAGCAACTAAATTGTCAGAAGAAAATCAATCAGTAAACTAGACTTGAAGCTGAGAGACTCATTGATTTATGAGTCACTTATTTCTTATCATAACCCACATCACTTGTCAAATTATTGCTTCCTAAATTGTTACCAGCAGCATGTGGCATTGAACATGTAGTACAAAGGGCTATTTATTTACTCAGTGGGCACAGGAGAGGCTCAAAACATTAAAATTGCCTTGTATCTCTAGAATACAATAAAGAAAACAAAGACATTCATAGAGAAGCATACAGTGTAAAAACTCACTACTTTAACTGAACAAGGATTATTAGATTTATGCTTGTGTAAGACATTTTATTGTGAGAGAACTTTTCAGCAATGGAAAAAATGAACATATATCTAGCTTACTGTAAAAAAAAAGAGAGAAGATATCCAGTTTATTATTTTAAAAGCTTATTGATAATGTCTTATTTCATCAAGGGAAATAACTTTCCTCTTCTAATGTTTTGTTTTGAATCCAGACATTCCAGATCAAGTTATAAGAGTTTTCAAAGCTGATCAACAGAGTTGTTACATTATTATTAGCAAAGACACTACAGCAAAAGAAGTTGTAAGCCATGCAGTGCATGAATTCAATTTGACAGGAGCACCAGAGACATATTCTCTCTGTGAGGTTTCTGTGAGTTCTGAAGGAGTTATCAAGCAGAGAAGGCTTCCCGATCAATTCTCAAAGTTAGCAGACCGAATTCAGCTCAACGGGAGGTAAATGTACTTATTTTTGTTTGAAAATTTGAGGAAAGGGATAAAAATCAAGACTACAGAGATGTAGTTGATTCCACTGGGTGGAATAAAATACCAACTTCTGTTGCAACTGGTACCATAGAAAGTCTAAACACTAAATAAGGATTAGAATAATAGTAAATAGAAGGTGTACTTCTGCAATAAGGCAAGATCACAGTGTGTCAGTGGGCATGCCTGATGTTTTATACAGATAATTCATCTTAGAAATAGAGGTTCTTGATGTGGGTATTTCCATCACCAGTGTTAATGGTGTAAACGTAGAGCTTTGTATTTTACTGATTAAAAGCAAACAAGAGTTTGGCGTTTATGTGTTCAGTTTTGTTGCTTTTGCTCTGAAAAAGTGCTAATAGGCATTTAATGTTGGTTTCTCTATGTTTTTAGATATTACCTTAAAAATAATATGGAAACAGAGACTCTTTGCTCAGATGAAGATGCTCAAGAATTGCTCAGAGAAAGCCAGATTTCCCTCTTACAGCTGAGCACTATTGAGGTGGCTACTCAGCTGTCAATGAGAGATTTTGAATTATTTCGGAACATTGAACCTACTGAATATATAGATGACCTTTATAAGCTTGAATCTAAAACCGGGAATGCTAATCTCAAACAATTTGAGGATGTTATTAATCAAGAGACATTTTGGGTTGCCACAGAAATTTTATCTGAACCAAATCAACTGAAGAGGATGAAGATCATAAAACATTTTATAAAAATTGCTCTTCACTGTCGAGAGTGCAAGAATTTCAACTCTATGTTTGCTGTTATAAGGTAAATATATTTCTCTTTTGACAGATATTAGTGTAGCAGAAAACTAGATCAAAACATGAACCCCCTGTATTGTCATTATTGACAGCTTAATAGCTGTGGTTTGCTTGATAGCTTAATAAATTAAAATTGTATGGCAAATGGAGCATAATTGTGAGTGTTTATGATTATGAGGGTGGAAATATTTTCTTTTTTGTTTAATAGTTGTTGTAATAAGGATTGCTTATTTTATTTATTTTTATAAATAAAAATCCAGTGTAGATTTTGTACTTCCCATTATTAATCAGTGATCAAACAAAGGGTAATCCTTTCCCTTTTGGAATAGTAATTTTCACTTTTAAACATATATTGACACTGATCTCAAAGTAGCCCTACTTAATTCTACTTAAGCCTAGGTCCTTCACTAGCCTTTCCTATGGTTTGTCGTTTCTAGTGTAATGCTTAAGTGTAGCTAAGGATAGTGACAGGAATTTAGGTTGCAGTGCGGAAGAAGAGGGAATGTATAGTTCTGGGTCCCAGTAGTTTAATCTTGCTTCAGAGTATTTCTGATGTGTAAATAGATGCACTCCAAAGGTGCAGGGATCTTCCAGAGCAGTTTCTTATTGGCTTCTGTTGCTCTAAAAATTATAGGGAAATGGGTGATTAAAAACATTGTAAAGTGGGTGAAAAATCACACTTTGTTTTTCAAAGATTTCCATTTATTAAATGCAGTTTTGTTATATTTTGCAGTGGTCTTAATCTGGCACCTGTAGCTCGACTCAGAGGAACCTGGGAAAAATTGCCAAGCAAGTATGAGAAGCACCTCCGAGACCTTCAAGATCTTTTTGATCCATCCAGAAACATGGCAAAGTATCGCAACATCCTTAGCAGTCAGAGCATGCAACCTCCTATTATTCCACTCTTTCCTGTTGTCAAGAAAGATATTACATTTCTGCATGAAGGTAATTCTAGATATGAACACGTAATGAGAAAAATTGTTGATACATGCTGTCAAGTTGCCTCCGTCTTATGATGACTCTATGAATAAGTGACCTCTAAAATATCCTGGTGTTAGCAGTCCTGCTCAACTCATGCAGACTCAACCCTGCTGCCTCTTTTATGGAATCAACCGATCACATATTTGACTTGCCTCTTTTCTTGCTCCCATCAACTTTCCCTAACATTATTTTTTTAGCAAATGTTGTCTTCTCATGATCTGTACAAAGTATGACAGCCTCTGTATGTCTTAAACCATTAAATTATTGATGGTTCCCCCAACAGTTTTCACTACTCCTTCATCTGAATTAAATCCAGCTTTCTGTATATTTTCTGCACACAGATTGAACAGGGAGGGAGATAAATTATGCCCTTATCTGACACTTTGCCTATAGGAAACTGTTCTGTTCTTCCATATTATCTCCATAGTTTCTTATCCACAATGTAGATTGTGCATGAGGACAATAGGCTGTTGAGGTACACTCAGTCTAGGATGTCTCCTGATCCACACAGTCTGTGAGTATGGCTTTACCATAGTCTATAAAGCACAGACTGATTTTCATCTGAAATTCTTTGGTGAGCTCCAGCAGCAAAATGTATGTTTGCAATATGATATTTATTGCTTCTTCCTCTTCAGAAGCCATCTTGAATAATGGGCATTTCATGCTCCATATATGATAAAAGTCTTTGTTGCAACACTTTGAGCATCAATTTGCTTGTTTGGGAAATTAATGCAATTGTTCTATAGTTAACAGCATTCCTTGGTGTCTCCTTTCTGGGGGACTGGAAAATAAATTGAGCATTTCCAATCTATGTGTCATCGTTTTGTTTTCCATATTTTTTACTATATTTTTGCTAAGATTTTGACAGATTTAGTGTCTGCAGCCTGAAGTAGTTCTATATGTATCCCACCTACTTCTGGTGATTTAGTTCTTCCAAGTGCTTTAAAAGCAGCTTTCACTTCACTTTCTAAAATTGAAACTCCTTCATTACAGGATTCCTCTTCAAATGAATCTATCGTATTTGTATGTCTTCTGTACTGCTCTTCAGTATATTGTTTCCATATTTAATCCTGATCAGCTAGTATGTTCCCATTTTGGTCTTTTTTAAAAAATATTTTATTTTTAACAAAGGGTGACAAAAAGGAAAAGGGGGATTGAGGTTAAGGGGGGAAAGGAGAAACAATGACATATTAACATCCATTTTGGTCTTAATCTAGATTTAAATTTATCTTTTTTGGATTTTATGGGAGACAGTGCTTGTGTTTGTTCTTTTGTTCTCTTCTGATTCCCTGTACTGATAATTCAGTTGCCCTGTTTCTTTGTGATAGTCACTGAAAAACTGTATTCAGGATTCTGACCCTATTTCTGTCACATTCTACTTTCACTTCATATTAATATTAAGTGATTCATCAGTCATCATATTGACTTTTCTTTTGACAGACAGAATTGTCTTTTTGTATTCACCCTTGATAGTATCTCTGGTTTCAATCCGTCGTTTTTATAGTTCATTGTCAGTTGAGTTTAGTAATGCAAATCCTATTATTCACATTGATTGTAAATTCATCAGAATGCTATTTAAATTACATTAAATTACATTTTGGCACAGTGTGCTTTTAGTGTTCTTTTTCAGCTTTGCACTAATTTTTTTGCTATCAGCAGTTTGTAGTCAGTACCACAATCTGCTCGTTGTGGTCTTGTTTTGACAGAAGGAATTTTTCATTCTACTACTTCCAATTAGTAGTCTCCTTGATTTCCGTATTGGTCATCTGGTGCTGACTATGTGTGTCATTATCTGTTCAATTGCCTGAAGCATATATTTGCAATAAACAGATTGCTAGCCTTATAGAATTCTGTGGGTCGTTCTTTATTTTGTTTCTGATTCCTAGGTTATTTCTGGTTCTACTTTGTTTCTTGCTTTTGCATTCCAGTCACCTATTATTATCAGCTTGCACCAAATACTACAATGTTTAAACTTTCTGTGTTTTGCATTATAGTTTCCATTTTATCTTGAGTCAAATTTTTCATGTTCCATGTACTAATTATGTATCATGCGTCAACAGACTTTCCTTTCATCTCTGTACACATCAGCCACTAGATGTCCTTTCAGCTTTAATCTAGTTTCTTCTTTAGCTACAGTGCTATGTGTACTTGTTATATCTTCATCAGTATCTGATTGCGTGCCTTCTGACCTGTCATATTTTTCATTAATATCTCTTCTACTAGAAAATGAACTGTCTCCTCATAGGGTTGTCAAGGTAAGAAATATTAAGCAGTAATTTGCCATTGCCAGTGGCTGCCTTCCAGGTTCTATCCCCCCATCACCAGCGGAACTGTCCATTCTCTTCTGCATCTTAGACTAATGTCTCACTTTTGACCAATCTGCCTGAGAGACTGTGTTAAGAGTTCAGACTTCTGATATCATTTTTCTTTGCTTCCCTGGCACGTTCAAATCCCATCATTTTAAGGTCTGCATTGAAGTTCCTGCCAAAAATAAGCAGCCTTTACATACTAAGTGTATTTCGTGTAATTAAGACTAAGATTCTATGTACTGCTGTTCAGAATGGAATTGGAAACACAGGTCTGTAACTAGATAAGGAGCACTCTATTCTTCTTCGTGGCCTCTGTGAATCATACTCTGGGTGATCTGCACCTACGCGGAGCCTCATTGGAAAGTTCTAGAGCTTCTGTGGTAGCAAAAAACACATTAGAATAAGGCCCCTCTCCCCTTTTATAAATACCCTGGCACCAAGGCTCCCCTTTCAGTTTCTTTCAACCGCCGCTTTGAGAGCCTCCTGGTTCTGCTTCTGTGAGTAAAGGAGAAAGAGAGTTTGTTCTTGATTCCTTCCTGTTATCAATCTTTTTTCCTTTAAACTTTTAGTTCAAATTCATTATCAAAGATTTTTTTTCTACTTCTCTCGGCCTCTGGCCACAGCACCTACCCCCCCATCATAGTTTTTTCTCCTCAAATTATTTTCTCCTATTCATGGCCCCTTTCGGCCCATTTAAACACTGTGTGGTCTGTGATAACAAAACACCACTCTCCGGGCATGGCAGGAGTCTTTTTTTGCTTGGGACAGGTACACCAGACATCCTCCTGCCAGCATTGTAAGAACTTAAAGCGCGGAGTCTTCCGTTCTCGCTTATCCAGATTAAGCCTCCGTCTTTGGGAACAACCTACCTACCTACCTACCTACCTACCTACCTACCTACCTACCTACCTACCTACCTACCTACCTACCTACCTACCTACCTACCTACCTACCTACCTACCTACCTACCTACCTACCTACCTACCTACCTACCTACCTACCTACCTACCTACCTACCTACCTACCTACCTACCTACCTACCTACCTACCTACCTACCTACCTACCTACCTACCTACCTACCTACCTACCTACCTACCTACCTACCTACCTACCTACCTACCTACCTACCTACCTACCTACCTACCTACCTACCTACCTACCTACCTACCTACCTACCTACCTACCTACCTACCTACCTACCTACCTACCTACCTACCTACCTACCTACCTACCTACCTACCTACCTACCTACCTACCTACCTACCTACCTACCTACCTACCTACCTACCTACCTACCTACCTACCTACCTACCTACCCTGCCACAACCCCTTCAACCAACCAAAATGGCCCAACCTCCTTGTAAGGCCACCTCACAAACCAAAGCAATGGAGAAGGCTCTTTCTGAAGCCTCAAAACAATGTCCATTGACCACACCATCACACTCCTACGCTCCATCCACTTTGTCTAAAACTTCAAAAACCTATAAATTGAAGCATTTGATACCGAAATCTTTGATATCGAAGCCCTCCACTAAACGTCAAATGTCCACCGAAGCCTCTTCGGTCCTGGAGCCTTCTCCGCCTAAAAGACCTAAACAACATAAATCTAAAGCTGCAGCCATTTCTCCACAGCCTCAACAAACTGCCAAATCAATCTCTATTGGTTCACCTTCTGATGATGATGGAATCCCCTCTCATCAACCCTGCTCTCAATCACCGAAATCGATCAATTAACAACTTGTCCTCCCAGTCCTCAACACTCTGTTCTTTTGATCAACCCTTCCATAGTTGCTTCACCTGACAGGATCAACTCCGAACAACAACTAGAGACCATACCTTATTTGATAACACCTGGTCGTCCACCACAACTGCCTCAGAGACATCAGCCCAAACAGTCCCTGGAGCCATCTATTTCATCATGCATGGCTCAGACCTGCATTCAGCACTCTCACTGGTTGCCATTTGCCTCGACAAGTGCTCAACCGGACAAACCGCAACCGCCAATTAGCCAGTTGCTCTATCCACTTTGGCCATACCTTCTCATGGCAGGCCTCGATCTCGACAGCCATCAGTGCTGAAACGGCCATTTCACTGTGACTCACACCAACTCCAGTGTGCTCCCTACCTGGTATTTAAAAGACCCAGGACAGTTGAGCATTTTTTTCTACACGCGAGGCTTTTACAGCACCAGCCTCCCAATATTTTCCCACTAATCCAGACAAGAGAAATCATTCCTCTCACTTGACATCTCCATCGTCTATATACGTACTCCACTGTTTTACCAGCTCGTCAACAACCTCTGTTACAACGTCACTGAGATACAGGATCTGATATTGATGATCCTCGATATCCATTCTGGTCCATGGACACTTGTTCTGTCCCTCTATCGATGCATGGTTTCCGTTGCCCGATAGAACCAAGCCATCGAACTTGACATCACTATGACCCCGAGTTCGACACCAGTGTTCAACCATATCAGGTGACATCCATGAACACTCAGATGACATCTCTCAATATCGAAAATCCTGGACACTGACAAATGCCCATGGACATGCCACCACCATCGACATCGAGCCACAAATGTCAATATTATGACACTCAACCTATCTACACCGAAGTCGATTGACAATCTGTTGACTCCCGACGCGATCCCAATTATTCCGGTCACAGATCCAGACCTCAGATGCCATCAATATTACTTACCTCACCAGAATCCAACCTTGTCAGTGCCGACCCACTATCACCGGTGGAAGACTTCTAAACTTACGCCCAACTTATGATCTGTGTGGCTAAGTCTCTCAATCTCCAAATCCACCCCTGGTCGTCCACCACAACTGCCTCAGAGACATCAGCCCAAACAGTCCCTGGAGCCATCTATTTCATCATGCATGGCTCAGACCTGCATTCAGCACTCTCACTGGTTGCCATTTGCCTCGACAAGTGCTCAACCGGACAAACCGCAACCGCCAATTAGCCAGTTGCTCTATCCACTTTGGCCATACCTTCTCATGGCAGGCCTCGATCTCGACAGCCATCAGTGCTGAAACGGCCATTTCACTGTGACTCACACCAACTCCAGTGTGCTCCCTACCTGGTATTTAAAAGACCCAGGACAGTTGAGCATTTTTTTTTCTACACGTGAGGCTTTTACAGCACCAGCCTCCCAATATTTTCCCACTAATCCAGACAAGAGAAATCATTCCTCTCACTTGACATCTCCATCGTCTATATACTCCACTGTTTTACCAGCTCGTCAACAACCTCTGTTACAACGTCACTGAGATACAGGATCTGATATTGATGATCCTCGATATCCATTCTGGTCCATGGACACTTGTTCTGTCCCTCTATCGATGCATGGTTTCCGTTGCCCGATAGAACCAAGCCATCGAACTTGACATCACTATGACCCCGAGTTCGACACCAGTGTTCAACCATATCAGGTGACATCCATGAACACTCAGATGACATCTCTCAATATCGAAAATCCTGGACACTGACAAATGCCCATGGACATGCCACCACCATCGACATCGAGCCACAAATGTCAATATTATGACACTCAACCTATCTGCACCGAAGTCGATTGACAATCTGTTGACTCCCGACGCGATCCCGATTATTCCGATCACAGATCCAGACCTCAGATGCCATCAATATTACTTACCTCACCAGAATCCAACCTTGTCATTGCCGACCCACTATCACCGGTGGAAGACTTCTAAACTTACGCCCAACTTATGATCTGTGTGGCTAAGTCTCTCAATCTCCAAATCCACCGTCCTTTGACAGAACTAGTTGTCCACAACTCAAGAAAGAATCCTCCATACTTTAGACGTCAGGCAAGCCCTTGCCTTTTATGTCCAGCACACCCAACCTTTCAGGTGTTCACCTCAACTTCTCATAATTCACCGATCACTTACAAAGGTTGCCAGGTGATGTCTCAAACTATATCTAGATGGGTCGCTTCAACCATTCACCTCGTGTATCAGCTGGCATGCAAATAAATCCCGAAGATGATTCGACCTCACTCCACCCAGAGTTGTGGCGACTTCTATGGCATACTTAAGCGCCATATCTCTTCCAGACATCTGGGCCTCTGCCACTTGGGCACAGCTGTCCACTTTCATCCGCCATTATAGATTTGATCTCTGACAGAAGTCTGAAGCGGCCTTTGGACGTACTGTTCTAGCCTCTACCTTGGCGTGACCCCTTGCCTCTGGGTAAGACAGCTTTTTAGTCCCCCAGGGGGTGATTCACATAGGCCACAAAGAAGAATGACAGGTTACCCGCCTGTAATTGTAGTTCTTCAAGTGGCCCTCTGTGTTTCAGACATCCACCCATCCTCCCCACTGTCACGCCATTCTGCTTAATGTAGCGGCGGTTGACACAACTGAAAGGGGAGCCTTGGCGCTAAGGTACTTATACGAGGGGGGAAGGGGCCTTATTCTAATGTGTTTTTTGCTACCACAGAAGCTCTAGAACATTCCGATGAGGCTCTGCCCAGGCGTGGATCACCCAGGGTGTGAATCACAGAGGCCCACTCGAAAAACTACAATTACAAGTGTGTAACCTGTCATTACATTTTAGGACTTTCACACTATTAATGAAATCTTAATCAGTGGGATGAATTTTAGTTCTCCATATAGATGGGTAAGTATTGATATAGACCAGTGAGTTGGAGCACCTATCTGCAGAGCCATGGATCATATGTTTGAATCCCCACTTTGTCTTACAGGAGTGGGGGTGGTCAAGATCCCCTGGAGCATATGTGTCTGGGGTGAGGGGTTTATGGCCCTGTGAGCTGTGTATTCTTGGGTAAGATGCACAGTCCCACAGCACCACCAGATGTATGGAGTACTAAATCACTTCTGAGTACTTTATAACTAAAAAGCCCAGGGATGGCAAAGCTTTGGCACTTCAGATATTTTGTACGACATCTCCCACAGTTCAGTAGAGGCTTGGAATTCTGTGAATTTTGCTCCAGAATATCTGTAGGGCCAAAGATTCACCACCCCTGGCTTAGGAAATGGCCGTTGTAAGGCAAAATCATTTTGAGGGTACGTAATTATTATTAAATAGATGAATATATTGAATAATTATAAATACACAGCAGTTCTGGATTACAAATTTTGGGAGAGGCACTCCTTCTTCCTTCCTGGGACAGAGAATTATGGGGGAAATGCCTCCTTTAAGATGAAATACCTGTCTTTGTTTTCATAAATATTTGCATTAAAGACAATACAAACTTTATTTTTAAAATGTTGCTGCCCAGTTAATTGGGACAGCTTTTGAACTAATTAACCCAATTTTTTGGTGAACTGATTTTTGTAGTCTTGTTACTTACCTAACTTTTACTTGCATTATAATGTAGCTTTGTTGTATTTTAAAGAGATTTAGGATAGAGTAGAATTAGAGCTTTTTAAAAGCACTGTTTTTCAAAAATCTCAGTCTCTATTTCTCTCTTCTCCCCCTACACCCACACATTTGAATCTCACCCGTAACTCACTAATACAGTAGCCTTCCACAAGTTGCTGTATTTCTCTTTAACCCCCCCCCCCCCACGCGCATGGGAACAATAATGTTATTATTGTTAGTGATTATAGTTCAGGAAAGCAGATGAGTTTGATGCAATTGTGATTTCCAAATGAAATCTTTTATTTGCATATTTGCTTGTTTCGTGTTTCATTATTCCCCATTATGTAATGGCATTTATTTTTTTGCCTACTCTTTTATTCTGCAAGGTACTTTCTTTAGCATGCAGAATATCTGGAGACATAGCATATTGTTTTCAGAACCAGTCTTGCCTGTTTCTGAAAATACACATTTTAAACACAAATCTTGGGGAGAGGAAGATGGCAAATAGAGGAAGATATGGCAAAATGTAAAATAATACCAGAGTTTGGTTGCTAACAATAGTTGTGAAGAAGAAGGAACTCCAGTAGATTCACTGCAATTCCTGAACATGTTCAAATTACCTTTTAGAACAACTGTTCAGATAGACAAACACACTCTTTCTGTGTGTCACACTAAGTCTCAAAAGTAAAGAGAACTTGGGCAAAAGTAAAACTGGATTTCCATTGTGTAGTGATTTCCATTGTGTAGATTGCAATTTTGGGTAGGATTAAACCAAATGAGTAAAACTGGTGTTTAGAATAAATTATTTTCACTTCCCTAAGTTCATGTCGAACCATTTTTGAAAGATAATAACCTTGTTACAATCAGTTTCATGACCCTTTTGATGCTGAAAAATCAAGGTAAACACAATCCAAATGTTACATTTTCTTCCTATTGACAGCTGTCACTATTAAAACAATTGAATGTGTATAAAGTTAGCATTTCTAGTGAGCTTTGAGTGACATATGTACTCTGCTGTACATGTTTTTGTGTCTTTGACTGATGCTTGAATTCAAGACCTTTGACATCTGAAGATGAGTTGTAGTATATCAGAGAAGTAATCTGTCAGCCACAGAATTGTTTTGAACACTCTAAAAAATCTTTTTTGTTCATGTTTTAATTATATAGGAAATGATTCAAAGGTGGATGGCTTGGTAAATTTTGAGAAGCTCAGAATGATTGCCAAAGAGATTCGTCAAGTGATCAGAATGACTTCTGCTAACATGGATCCTGCTGTGATGTTCAGACAAAGGTATGGCATCTGAAACAGAAATGGGGATGAGTATAGATGGGACCGTAATGCATTCACATGTTTATATTTTGTTTGATTCCATTGTTGGTTAGCATTTATCATGGGAAAGTGAACCCAAAATAAAAATGTAGATGATGATTTTTACAGTGCTTGGGTGAAGTTCTCAAAACCTGCATAGCTTACAGTTACTTTTTAAAGACTGATTCATCTTTGTATATTTTGTTGTATGATGATTTATTTAGCTTGGGATTCTGTATTGTATCAGATCAGGAAAGAATTGACTTGACAGGGGAAAAAATCCAGGCACATCTAAGTGAAAGCAGTTCATCAGCCAATTCTTGTTTCTGGCATTAAAAATGTAACCCAGCTTATTTTTTAAAAAATGGAACTCCCAGTTTTAAAAATAAACTTTAACTTGATCATTAGTATTGTTATAATATAAACTATAGCATTTAATAAGTATATTAAAGTATAGGCGTAATGTGTGTTGTTCCTTGGTTAAATAGTCATTATATAAAATCCTATGTTCTGAATATAGATGGGAAAGAGTTATTCTAGAAGAACATCACCTGCAAACTTAATGGGATCTCCCCCCCTCTTAATGATGATTTCTCCACTTCCACAAAACATGGTCTTTTAAATTCCAACCCTTCTGTTATATGTGTTTATTTATTCATCGTGTATTGTAATCCGTTGTGTCTGTATGCCATTGAAAAAAGTGTGTCACTGTTTTGAGAAGTTTTTTACCTGATTGAAATTTTCATTCCTCTTTTCTGTCTACATCGTTTTCCTTTCTGACTTTTCAACTGTGATTTTCCCCCTTTGCTTTTCTTTTTAAAAACATGCTTCATTGTATATGGCTCTTGCTTACAGGAAGAAGAGGTGGAGGAGTTTGGGGTAAGTGTAGAGATTAATGCAACTAAGATTTTTAAAACAATCATGCAACTTTTAACGTTCTGCATCCTTGTTAGTGCATGCACCTAAACAAGAGCATGCATTTTATTAACCCTGCAGTAGTTGTTTCTGACTGTTTCCAGATTTAAGGGAAAACAAGGCCATGATGATAATAATGTAGATTCTGGAGAAATCTGACAGCACTCCTATTAGGAAAATGTTTTTCATTGTTCTTATAAAAGACAGAATTATGTACAAATCATTGATTTTTTTTCATTTTAAAATGTCTTGAAATTAAACACAACTGAAGGCTAAATTTTATTTTATTTTTATTGTCTGCTGCCTGACTTGTACTGAGTCCCTAGCTATAGGTTAATAATATTAGCCCTATATTTTCCTTCTTCTCCTTTGCTTGTGTTAGAAGAGTTCATTGGTGCTTCTGGAGTGGAAGGATCAGTCAACAGGGTGTTGTCGATGTAAATATGTTTACAATTCTTACATTCTTCGAGCAGGCTCTTTCCATGCTCCCCAACCCTACATTTATAAATATTAATTGATGACTGTCTCCCCCCCCCCCTTACAGACCAACTGTAGAGAGATTTTAACAATTCTTTTTGGAAAATCTAGCCATTGGAGTTGCACTCATTGCCTGGGACTTGAAAAAAGAGGGGAAATCTACTGAGGGCTTCAGAGGCTACTAGGTGTGTCACTAGCTAGTGTCCAGAAGTAACTTTATGGAAGGCAGCAGGCATACTAAGGTATATTCGCGAAGGCTTTCACAGCTGGGATCTAATGGTTGTTCTGGGTTTTTCGGGCTCTTTGGCCGTGTTCTGAAGGTTGTTCTTCCTGATGTTTTGCCAGTCTCTGTGGCCGGCATCTTCAGAGGACAGCAACCTGTGCATTGCTGTCCTCTGAAGATGCCGGCCACAGAGACTGGCGAAACGTCAGGAAGAACAACCTTCAGAACACGGCCAAAGAGCCCGAAAAACCCAGAACAACCATACTAAGGTAGTTCCCCCTTTAATGCAAAAGGCATAGTCTCTGTTCCCCAGACTAGTTACTGTTCAGAAGCCATGCATAGTGATACCACTCTTCACACATTCAGTCTGGGAGGCCTGGATGTAAACTCTAGTGTGGATAGTCCAACCCATGCCATTATGTAAGTATACTGGTAATCCATGCTTAGCACATGAAGTACCCCTTCCCAACATGGAAGGAGGATGCTGCAGGCTACCAGTGCTTGCCAGCACACAGAAATATTCTAGCAAATTTCCAAAAATTCTACCTTTAAGGCAATATGAATGAACTTACCTGCAACCAAATTTGCATATTGAGGGAAATTAGCAGCAACTTATCACACACCAGATCCTTAAACATCACATATTTCTGGCTTTTTGGTTGTATTTATTGGTTCTTGAAACACAGTTTAAATCTGTTAATTCCTTTTCAATAAATAATATGAATTATGTGATGCATCCCCACATTTTTCAGGTATGTTGTATTACTTTGTGGTCAGTTGGCTGCACTTTTCACCTTATGGCCATTTTGCTGTTTTGACACAGTAGATCTGTCCTACTGCTTGGCAACACGGGGCGCCAGTTCTGAGACTTGTTTGTGGATGGAAAGGCTTGAACTAGCTTTCTTTTTATTCTGAGCAAAATTGAAAAGGCAAGAGTTAGGAAAGTTTTGTCTTTTCACACGAACTAAAATTGGTTGGTGTAACCTAAATTGACACCCATGGAACTATACAGAGCAGCCTGTCTTGCAGCATTTGATTGTGCAATTCATGGTGTGACCATTGTGCAGCATGCTGCAGAAGTCCTTCATGAGAATATCTTCCCTTTCTGTCTCAGGGTGAGTTAGAAAGTTGTATAAAATGATTTTAAAACATGAGATATTTAAAACAATCTAAAACCAAACAACACAAAATTGAACTACACAAACATTAAAAATGTTGCAATAAATGTTTATTTAGGTCTGTGCAAGACATAAATAAATATGTCTTGATTTGGTGCCAAAATTATTCTGATGTCCATACCAATTGAGCCTCCAAGGGGAGGGCATTCCACAGTTGAGGTGCTACAGCAGTACCCTGGCCCCCCTCCCCCAGTCTGCACATAATGAACTTTTCGCAATGGTGGGACACTGAGGAAGGCTTTCTCTTCAGATCTTAGTGATCAGGCCAGTTTGTACAGGAGGAGGTGCTTCTGCCTTGGCAGTGTCCCCTGCTGTTTGCATAACTTCAAGTTACACATGCTGATCTGTGCAACAGGAGTTCAGCCACTATATATTGTAAGGGGATTTAAGAGCACTATGTCTGGTACTGATGAAACCCAAAGTTTCAGCAACCATGTTCATACAGATATGCCAAACTATGTTTGTGATTGTTGCCCAAACCCAATGTTCTGCATGCATTCTGAAATAAGGACTTCATTTATGAGAGCCCATAGTCATTTTAATCAAAGAAACTATTCTTTTCACACACAGAATCACACATTGAATGGTGCCTTGTATTTAAATGAATAGGAGGCTATTCCAAGCAATTCCAGCAGTGCATATTGAAGCTCTTATGCTCAGACCATATCATGGAATCAAAGTGTGTGTGTTGCATGGCTTTCTGGTATATGTAATACATCCATGTCATCTTGAGAGCGTTCTTTTGCCATGTGTAATAATGAAGAGAGGAAACAACTAGCTTTGATCTTACAACAGTAGTTGTAAGGTCAAAGCGAGATTAGATTAGTGTGGTAGGGATTGGCAGAGAAGACAATTTGAGATTCTTTCTCTTAGGTCTTATACTCTAGTAGGAATAGCCAATTTGATATCCAAAATCAATTTTGATTTTTGGAAAAGACAAGATTTGGAATTCCTGTTAAAAGACAGAATGGGTTAGGCAGTGAATAGACATTTGCTTGAGGTTGCCCAGACTAGAAGACCGTAAAGAACAGAAATCAGTTGTCATCTTCTGACACTCACATTTAAACTCTTAATACAGAAAGCTGAAGTCATGTGCTAATATTGTTCCAATGAAAAGACACCTGAAAGTTTTCAGTTGACAGTACAGTATGTTAAAAATAACTTTAATGTATCTTAGAGCAAAGCTGCAAGTGGATGGCTTTGTAAACTTGAATGCTATCAGTTATATAACTTCTGTTTCCATTATGCAGCTTCTGAATGTTTATGGTTACGAACTTTCCCATGTTAAATCTGTGCAACACTTTGAGCTGTGATGTCAGCAAATTAATGATGGGTCATTGTAATCTTGTGAATTTGTGTTTATGTAAATCTATTGTTCTTTTAAGTGTATTTTATTCAGCGTGTACCTTCTTTGGAAATATTTTTTGCTTCTTAACATCTGAAATTCTTATGTTTTCTGCCTTTTCATATCTTTCCGCATCTGTTGTGAAACAAATATTTCAGAGCATGTACCACTTGGCTGTTTTTGAATATTGTAGAACTGGATGAAATTGTTCAACCATTTAAAAATTAGCATCACAATATTTGTTTGTTTGTTTTTTGTTTTTTGTTTGTTTATTTATTAAATATACCACCTATTTAATAGAACACCGGGCAGTTTACAGATTAAAATTAGAACCCCATATGAGCCCACATAAAATAACACATTTAGTAGACTACATTTTAAAAGAATATGTTTGGGTTGATGCTTTAGCAGTGTTTGCTTTGGTTCTTTGATTAATCTTAGTGTGTGAGGATGTTAGAATAAACATCTAGCACTAAGCTTCACCTTAAAGTACAGATTGAGTCCCCTACTAGGGCCTGGGATTCAGTAACTTGAAAAATAGTGACTTTTGTTATGGGATGTTGCCCTTAAAATTTAGATGTACAATTATTGTAAAATTCCTGGCAGACATGCTGTCTTAAGTATGCACAAAATTTTAGGTGCTTTCAGCAGAGAAACCCCAGGCTTTCTTATCTAAACTACTACTGTACTTTGTCCGCTTTCAAAAGACAGTCTATTGCAGCATATATAGCAACAGCAACACAACAATAAATTAACCCAAATAGTTTATGTGTGATACAGTGTGATCTACTAAAGTGTACACTGAAATAAATTGTTAGTCTTAAAGGTGACATAGAGCTTTTTTTGGTCTGTTTCTTTATTTTAGCCTATCAGCAACGTCCACAACCTGCGTTCTTTTTCATACTGGAATTTACTTCTGCACCTCACTATGTCTGTTTTTTAATAGAAAATTTACCATTGCTACTTTTCTTTTTTTTGCCTTCCTGCCCCTTTTGTCTTGTGTAACACAGACTCAACATTTCTCTCCTTTCCAATTTTTTTGAGTCCTATACTGTATAGGAATTTCTGATTAGAACTCTCCCTTAAACTCAGTCATTCTCTCTTGCCTTCCTCTTCCTCTTTTACTCTTTAAAATTACAGCAAGGCCAAAGATGGGTATGCCAGTTTGAATATGTGTTCCTTTTTAGGTTTTCTCTTTGGTATTATGGGGCGTGTGGCATTTATTGAACCCTAAATGTGTTTTGCAAATTTGAATTTGTGCAACAAGATTACAGAAAAGAATTTGTAATTTGTAAATCTGACACCTCACTTTCCCCTGCCACAGCTGCTTTGCTGAATTGCAGAATATTTGTCAGGGTGCCCAGAATTTCATTGATTATATGTTGCAAAGCTCAGTAAGAAATCAGAATCCTGACCATTCATGCTGAGTACAGCACATAGTGCTTATGGTTGGTTGCATTGTTAAAAATAGACCAATATGAGTTTTCTCTTCTACCTTGCAATAAAATAGGAGGAAAATTGGTAGCTTTGGAAGTACATCTTTTAAAGGGCTGTAGAGCTTCTTTGCACTTAACAGTTAAGTCATGTGTCTAGCGAGAGCAAAGCTGGTTGTGTCCAAGGTGGTAATGATATAACAGGTATGATGAAACAGAGTTTGTAGGTATTGTTGCAGGCTAAAAGCTGTCATGAGAGATAGTGATCCTATAGCTGTCTTGAAATATTGTGCTCCAGTTGAACAATGTCCGATCACAGCCCCCATATAAACATCTGGATGACATTGTTTTTGCTTTCTAGCCAGCAGTTTCTCCACTGAACTCCCATACTTAAAACTCAGTGTGCAACTGAAAAAAGAAACTGATAGAATAATACCATAAAAATAAAAATACCCAGCAATTTGTGCATGATCACAAACCACTTGATTGCAGCCAGGATGCTTGCTCTTTTTTCAGAAGTGGAATAGTAAATTATAGCAGTTCTCAGGAAAGTGTTGGATTAATCTCCCTTGGAGGACTTACCTTTATTTTATCAATGAATACAATGTAGTCTTCTGACAAATAGAGCAGGAAATGTAGTTTCCAATCATGTCACTCCCATTGGTTCAAGAATATGTTCAAAATGGTGAAGCTGAGGTGCTCTCATACATGCATTGTTTGCAAAGGATGATATTAAAACAGTGAAATTCTCCATCTATGGAAGAATCTAATTTTTGTTTCATTTGTGTCTCCTTCAAGCCCAGAGAAGGAATGGGGCAGTTTGGTAATAATTTGCTCCTACTCCAATCTGCTGGAATCAAATTATGTTAACAGTGATAAACTTGGAATGGAGAAAAATGCTTTTTCTGTCCCAAATTCAATGTTTAAGTAGGTTTTTGAGTGGAATTTTGAAAGCCTTTAGTTACATCTGTAATTAAGAACTTGCATTTCCTTGGTTTTTGATCCTTGTACACTTTTTGCTTAATCATTCTTTCTAAACATGTTAACTCTGATACCAGTTTTGCCAGTTTCTTTGGAACACAAGTGTTAACACTCTTCATCTCCTTTTAACTTCACATCAGCATGCGCTTTCAGTGGAAGAGTAGCTGTGCTTCAGTGTTTGCTGTTTTGACTACTCTCTATAAAAGTGAAGCTGAACTGAATAGTCTCAACATCTTGTCTTGCAGGTCACTGAGCCAGGGCAGCACAAACTCAAACATGCTGGACGTTCAAGGAGGCGCGCACAAAAAACGTGCACGACGCAGTTCGCTGCTGAATGCAAAAAAATTGTATGAGGATGCTCAGATGGCCAGAAAAGTCAAGCAGTACTTGTCCAATCTGAATGTGGAAGCAGATGAAGAAAAATTCCAGATCATGTCCCTTCAGTGTGAACCTGCATACAGCACTTGTAAGTTAGACAAATGTTGGAGTTGGTAGTGGAATGAGCTCACTTAGCTTGTACCATTAAATTAGATGAATGTATGTTCCTTCAGATCTAATTGCTGGTAAAATTGCTGTTTTTAGTGTCAGTTGGAAAATATACATTGAGAAATGGATGCTGCTGAAAAGACCAGATGCATAAATTGGCATCCTGTCCTTTGAATTTGGTTGACTTCGCACAAATGTGAGATAAGGTGCTACTTTTGTCCTTGAATCGCTAATCTTCACATGTATCACCAGCCTGCCAAAATTCCCAGAGTGTATTGGATCTGGGTTTTTTGCCAAGTTAGCACTTTATAGAATTAAGGAATAATAAAAGTAACATAGTATGAGTGGCAATAAAAAGAAAGGACAAGAAGACCACTACAAACTAGCAGTTGGAATGACATTGGTAAGTCAGTTATTCAGTGCAGAAATAAGAAAACAGCAGAAAAGAGCAGTATTCTGTGTTAGCATGACATACAGTACTTTGTTTTGACAATTTAGAAGCAGCGTAATCTCCTGCAATCTGTGGTATTTACTCATTTCTTAAAACTACAAGGTTGTTAAAGTAATATTTTTTTAAGATTACCCATGTTTCATCAAATTCTTTGATATAAAACCACAACACCATTAAGCATTTTGGAAAATTGCCTTTTACAAACAGCAAACATGTAACTATACACTGGCTATTGAAGTACAGGCGTACCTCGGTTTACATACGCCTCACTTTACGTAATTTTCGGTTTATGAGCTGAAATCCGTAAGAAATAATGCCTCGGTTTACTTTTTTTACGCTGTACAAAAAGGATGCATTTCACCTGGAGGTTTCTAGTGCGGCCCCTTTGCTACGGCAGTCCGCGTTCCGGTTTACTTAATTACCGCATTACGTAACATCTTGGGTGACAGATTGATTAATTTCGTAAACCGAGGTACTACTGTATGGTGGAGTCCTGACCTATACAGCTGAAACTTTTCTGTTTCTGTGTAAAACTGAAATGGATAAAGCCAGTCAGACTAGAGATGCATCTAGTACCATTAATGGTTCTAAAGATCATTTGGATTTAGACATGTCAACAGATTTTGGATTTAACATAGTTTGTCAGCTTCATAATAATTAACAGTGTAGTAGTATTGTTTATACTGTGAATTAAGTATGCCACCTAGTGGGAAGTTGATAGTGAGTTTTTGAAGAAAAATGGGTTCTTTCGCACTCTGGCTGCTTTAGATCCATGAGTTGGTTTCAGCCTTAGTTATGCTTACAATGGACCCACTGAAATTTCTTTTAATCTCTTTTAATAAAGGTTGTTACGACTATCTGAAGTCCCAGTGATTTCAGTGGACTATTCTGAATCAGGGATAGTAAATGCTGCTTCTCTGGACAACCCAACAGGTGTATGGCCAGGCCCCCTGCTGTGGCCTAAGTACAAGTTAAAGCTGGAGCCAATTTAGTATTTCGTATGGCCTAAGTGCAAGTTAAAGCTGGAGCCAATTTAGTATTTTTAGTATTTAGCCTTTAAGAATACATTAGTATTTTCTGTTGCTTGTCAATCCTTTCTGTCGTCACTCAATTTTTTACTCTGGTTCTTAGGTTTATTAAAATAACAAATTAAGGGTATCAAATAATTGTGTTCCTTTTCTCCCCACTATCTTTAGTGACAAAAAATTTAAGTGACAGGCGAGGTACAAAAACTGTAGAAATGTCTCCAATGCCTCTGAGATCAAGTGGTCAAACCACAAAAGCTTATTTGCATCAGCAAAACCGAATGAGTCAAGTCCTTCAAGTTCCGGCTGTAAATTTGTATCCCATTAAGAAAAAAGGACCAGCAAAAGACCATGTCACATTTAGTGAGTATCTGCAACATTCACTTTTAAATCAAGTTGTTCAGTAAACTGTGTGAGAAGCAGTTTTTCAGAGTGACATCATGCTTCTCTTATCAGCCTTTCAGATTTAATTCCATTCTGATACATATCTACGAGAATGTTATTACTTACACCCACCGGCATAGGTCCATCACCATACATCTAATCTTATCTGCGAGAACGTTATTACTTACGCCCACCGGCATAGGTCCATCACCATACATCGCAGGAGTGAATTGCTGCCAGTTAAGAAGTCAAGCTGTATTGCCTGTTGCGTAGCAGTTACATGTCTTGCTGTTCAACAGGAAATGCAAACATTGACTTCTTTACTAATGCCTGTTCACTACTGAAATTGATATTGGTAGGCTTATGGTGGCATTCCTTTATATTTTTAGCCATTGAAATGCATTTGATTGTATTACATTATGAAAGACCACAGCATTGGCTGAAATCTAGTAGAGAGTCAAAACTATAGTAAGCCCATTGAATCAGTGGGGATTTGGTGAGTCATCTCTTAAGTTCCAATGACTTGAATGGGCCAACTCTGGTTGTGACTCATCTACTGAAGCTTAAGTGTTAATTTCGTAATGCATATGGGGATTTGTTGTTTGCTTGCTTGCTTTTAATCATTTATAGCACTATAAACTTATGATTACAAATCCTCCCAAGATGACCTACAAATAAAGATACAGTAGTAGAAAAAGAACAATATAAATCAAAACAACAGTTGATTTTGTTTCTTCCGTTGGCCCTGTGGTGGGACAGATGCAGCAGGCTCTGAGGCAATTTTGTTTTTCCTTCTTTGTTTTTGAAGTTGCACATGCACCATACTTTTAGAATGTCTCGTTTAATAAAATATTTGAGAAAGGAACAGTTGTCTTGGAAAGATCACTTAGAAAGTACCCTTGCAATTTGGCTGTTCCACTGACACCAATATCAGTTACACCCATCATGACTTTGACTAGGAGATAGAGAAAGACCCTTATCCACTGCATTGTCTGTAGTTGTTTTGGGTTTTCTTTGTCTTAAATGCCTTGTGGCCTTGTGTTATCCAGGCACAACAGTCAAACATAATTTCTTCTAGCCTGTAAGAATATGGTAAAAATACATCTGACCTTATTCAGGATTATTTCTGCTGCTCAAGGCTAGACAAGAGACACTTCCAGAATTACTTCACATTTTTCTGGCAACATAATTTATCTGTTTCAGTAGAATTTCTGTTGAGTATTCTTTCTCACCATGCTGAAAGATTTTCTAGTCCCTAGACTGTTGAGGAGTCAGTTTCTTTTTATGGGATAAGGATAAGGAAACTTGACTTTTCCGTATTCAAGGCATTCCTGTGAAAACAACATTTCCATATACAGTAGTTTCTTGGCTTGAATTTGAGTTCAAGACAGATGGCTATATGATGAGGCAAGGAGAAGAAGTAGTGAAATGGTGGTCAGATGACCGGCATGTCTCTTCAGAGATATGTCTAGGGCATACCAAATGCCAGGGTGGACAAAAATCAATGATGTTTTAAAATCAAATTGATTAAAATCATGATTTTAATTTTAAAAAACCTCCAGTATTTTAATTTAAATTATCAAAAAGTCAAATTTTTAAAAAATTTTAATCCTGATTTAAATCAATTTGATTTGACTCAGATCCACCCTGCCAAATGTATCGTGGTCTTGTGTATTTCATGGGCCCCCCCCCAGTGTTTTAATTTAAATTATCAAAAAGTCAGATTTTTTTTAAATTTTAATCCTGATTTAAATCAATTTGATTTGACTCAGATCCGCCCTGCCAAATGTATCGTGGTCTTGTGTATTTCATGGGAGGAGGCACTGAGAAACAAGGGGACCAGTTTCCCCAAACCTACCCCCCCCATCCCACCTCAAGAACAAGTTACAAGAGAGCAGGAGTGTTTTATTGCCTTTTCCTGAGATTGTGTTTTTCTTACCAATCTTTGACACAGGGACACAAGATTCCAGGAGTGCTTTATACTGAGTACTCACAACCATTCAATGTTTCTGCATCCGTTCTGAATTCTGCACCTCTGTGTGTCAAAAAGATAATGTGCCTGCAATGTAAAAATGCATGGCAAAAATATAACCTCTCACAACATAGTTTCTCAGTATTCAAAAGAGAATCTGGTTTATTGCCTATGTATCTCATATCCCCTGTTGAATCAGTGTGAACAAGAAAATGATTGTTCCTGATTTAGTTCGATTCTGTATTTTGTAGGAGCATTTGTTGATGTGTGTTCCATAAATAGAAACAGTGTCTTATCCTATGTTCTGTGGTATTTAAACTGGTTTTGAAACTGACTTTCAGAAATATATATATTTAACTGATGGTGTAATTTTTACAACTGATGGTGTAATTTTTTTTCTGTAATTTTATGGTTTTTAAATTCTCTTTTACCCTGTATAACTCTGAGTCATAGTTTGCCAACAGAAGGTATATTTCTCTGTGAAATGGGCCAGAATGAATTTCATTCACGCTTATGCTGAGAAAACAGGATTCATTGGCAGGAATTCTCCTGACTGATTTGAGAATGTAAATTTTATTTTACTGTTGTGTTGATAGATGCAAGTTCTCCTCAGAAATCAGTGAGTTTGCTTGAAGAAGCAAATAGTAAAAAACAAGCAGAAGACAGTATTTCTGTGGCATCTTCATTGCATTCCAGTCCTCCTGCTTCTCCTCAAGGTTCTCCACGCAAAGGTAGGAATGGCCACAACTTTAGTCTTTATGTAGCTTACAATTTAGATTCCATAGTACATTCTTGTGTCAGGGAAGTAAACATCAAGTGCTGATGAGCAGGACTGATATGGTTAAATATGTTTGGGGAATTTATTTAATAATGTACGTTGTTTTCCAGTCACAAAATGTATATGTTATGTCTGAGTCTGGACTTTAGAGATGGTTACATTCTGTTTTCTGTAACTAATAAACGGAACTTTTCTTTTCAGTAGGACAAACCTTCCCATTCCACTAGAGCATGTGTGTATTTTAACCTATCTTATTTGTCTGTCTTCATGTTATATGAATCGAAGAACCATCTCTGCCCCCCTTTTTAAAGATATTTGGTGGTTGCGAAAAGTTGTTCTTGCTGATTTCTATTTCATAGACATAGAACTTTTGTTAATTTTCTTATGACTCCATTAAGATGGCTTTGTCTCTTCTTAGGTTTATGCCATCTGTTTGACTTTCTTTCAGGCTATCCACTCCCTGCTTTAAAAACAGTCTTGTTTTGATAAAAGCATTACCAGACTTTTTTTGTATTTCTGTAAACATCTCATTATGGAGTTGAACTCAAATGAACTGTTTCTCTAACTAATTAAACATCTATGTCTTTGTCACTGTTTACTTCTGTGCATTATATTTCACTTTATTTGGTATCCAAGTGTAACATTACATAGATCAAAAAAAAAACCAAAAAAGAGCATTCATTTTACGGTATCCAAGTGTAACATTACATAGATAAAAAAAACCAAAAAAGAGCATTCATTTTACTGTCATTTACTTTCTGTGTTTCTTTCTTTGTAGTTGGTAACCCCCAGAGATCTGATAACTGCAGTCAGATTAATCTCTCTGGTTCTTCTTCATCTCTTGCAAGCGAAACAAGTAACAAGAACAGTGGACAACGCAGCTATGGAATAGGTGGGGCTTATTTGCAAAAGAAAATCCAGCAGATGACTAGCAGAATAGCCGAAAGACCAGTCAGTACTACAGAGAAAGAGAGGGAGGATGCTAGAGAGAACACAGAGCCTTTATACAAGCTCAGGAAAAGACTTGGGTCCCCCTTTAGAAGATCCAGGGAAAGGAGTGTCTCCAGGGAAAGACCAGCTTTCACCTTTGACATGAAGGCGGAATGCATGCCAGAGAAAGAGAAAAATGAGAAACAAAAGGACATAGACAGTGATATGTTGCATTCATCTAGTAGCCATGGAAACAGTAGATCTCCTACATGGTTGTGTCCACCATTGAGGCACAAGAGAAGAAAGACTATATGAAGTGCTATCCAGCTTAAATCAGGCCATAATATTGTTTTTATACTGTATATTTGCATTCATGCACATAAATATTTATTTGTTTTGAAAATCTGTGACACCTTTTCAGCTCCCCTGTCCAATGTGCAGTGTCATATCAGCATAATAAGTTCCTTATACAACAAATTCCTTATATGTATTCTGTTTGGGCATTTTGAATAATAAAGCTGAGAAGCTATGAGCAGGGGTAGGAAATTTTACATTGACCTAGATGCTTCTTAGAAGGTGGCTATCCAACCAAGCCTGTTAGGGATGAGTGAGGTTTGATTGATCTGGTTTGCTTTTAGACATGGGCACACAGTTCAGTTTGTTATGAGATATGACCCGCTTTTCACAACTGTCTAGTTGCTTTGTAGGTCTGACAAACTAAATTACTCATAGGAGTGTGGTTTCTAGTGTAAAATATTGTTTTTTAAATATATTTTATTACGATTTCTAGTACTGTTTCTCATACATGCTTTCGTACAAGATTCATTCACTTATACAAGTGACAGTATGGCTGCTGCTTCACATGCAGTAGAGTGGAGACAGCTTCAGAGCAGCAAGCAGCTTGGGTGAAACAGATATATACTGCTGTTACAGGTCTAGTAGTAAAGATATTTCATGCAGCTTGCAGTGATGTGGGTGACTGCTTTATGACAGTTTTTTTCATTCAAAAGTGCTGTAAGTGACATAGTCTTGTCTCAAAGTATGTGAAGTACCAAGCACTAGATTTGCATATACTAGGCTTTGTAGCTTCACTGTATCAATCTCTATTTGAAATGAAGTCCTATTATGATATCTGCAACTCCCTCTCAAGTAAGCATGCATAGCTTGTGTCTTAGTTTTTTCTTTATTTTTACAGACTTTAGTTACGAGCTGGGTAGAAAGCTCAGTGAGTTAAGTATCTGGCCATTGAGCCAGAGATTGGGAATTTGATGCTCCCCTGTGCCTCCTATGAGTAGAGCCAGCTTGTGTGGCCTTGGGCAAGCTGCATTGTCCCAGGATACCCCCAGAAGAAGGGAGTGATAAGCAGTTTCTGAGTACTCTCTACCTGGAAAACCCTGAAAAGTCATCATAAGCCAGAATTGAGTTGATGGCACATAATTATTATTTATTAAAGTTAGTTATGACAATATAGTAGCATGATTTGAAATGCCCCATAACCCCCTTCCAAATATTGATATCTTTAAGGGTGCTAAAAGTCAGTGGTGTAATCTCTGCAGCTTATCTACCCAACTGCTTTCCGTCATTTCCAATGGCAATGTTGTACTTACTTCTCTGCTTTCCTTTTTCTATACAATAGTTCTGGGCCTTTAATGTTTTTAGTGAACAAGGAAGTCTTTCATAGGAGTACGTATTTATTTCCTAGGACATGGCTTCCTTCCCTGTGTGCAAAATAACTACAAATAAACAGGAAATAGCTGGCACAAAGCCAGGCAAGCAACTGGGAAGCCACAGATTTTCTGTAGCAGGTCCCAGTTTGGGTGATGGTGATCCTGAACTGTTGGCCAGAATGAAATTGGGTCACTGGACCACCAAGACTGCCCACTTTAGATCATGGGACTGCCAAAAAATTTTACTTAAAAAAAACACACGATAACCCAGTTTAATGTTTCATTTAATCAAACAGTTCAGTTTCGTTTCCTGTAAGTAGCTTCTTTGTTTAGTACATGCATAGAGTTAGTTTCTGTGTAGATAATGCTAACACTGATATTAAGCTTGCAAGAAGGTGAATTTAAAATAACAATGTGAAATGTATTTGTCTACTTTAAATCTGTTAGTTTCCCCTAATCAAAATAGCACTATGATTCAAATGTTTTACCTTCCAGTTGTATAATTACTTCTGGAGCTTGGATAACCTTAACTTTTTTTCTTTGCCTCAAAAATATAAATTGCAAAAAGTTGAAAAAAGGACTGAATGGGACGTATGTATGGCCGCAGTGCTGATCCCAGATGAGTCAATACTCTGCATTATGCTGGATTTTCCAGAGAGACAGTCATTGTGTTCTTTTAAGTATTGTTGGTACCTTAAAATCTATCAAATTTATTTTGCATAAGCTTTCATATACTATAGGCCATTTGTTTCAAGCAAATGTGGCCATCATCAACAGTCAGTGTAATCGAGATTTACAGACATCTTAGTGGGGATGTTGCTTCTCCACTGTACCTTTGGGCAAGCTGCAGTCCCAGGGTGCCTCCACAAGAAGACCCTGGAAAGTGTTGGCAGGAAGTTGGAATTGACTTAGTGACATGTAAAATTAAGTTATAAAAAGATATTAAAGCTAGAACGGTTGCAACTGATTCAAAAATCATGTTTTCTTAATTTCTTCAGGGACAATTTTGAGTACTGCTCCTTTGATAGAGGCATACCTCCTCTTTTGAAGTGGCACTCAGCCAGGAAAAGCTCAACCACTTGATTCTGCTGAATGCGTAATTACTCATAAGTGGATGCAAACCCACAGGTTTTGCATTTTTATCATATCTGCAATGAACATAACATTTTTGTTAAATCTATGTGCATGTTTAGATATTTGTCTTTTATTTGCCATGTCTGAAATTGTTTTTATGCAGCTTTGCTACATGAGGCTGATGACATCACCAGTCATGGCAATTTTTAAGAACTAAATCACTTCTGATTCCCCTTCTGATGCTTCCTAGGCTCCTGTGGAATTACTTTTATTGCCAGGAGACTTATCAAGGGCCATAGGACAGGAGCTGAATGTCTTTAATTACTAAAAACTCATCAGCAGGAGGATGATTTTACCTGTGGTGGCAATTTCTGGAAATTAAAGAAGCCTTGTCCAGTCCCAATGGGAACCTCAGGGCCTTCGGGGAGAATTAGAAATGTTTAATTTCCCCAAAACATCCATTGCTGATGACATCATCTACCTTTCCTGGCATAAGCCACCCTATTGCATTTCAGCCAGTGAAGAAACATGGTGGTAGGGATATTGTATTTCTTCTTCTTCTTCACAACAACAACTGTGGATTTGGCTTTAGTATGAGCGCTTCCCTCCTCATTTGTATTCTACTTTGTTTTGAAAATGGTGATATAGTTTGAGGCTTCTAGAGAGGTAGCCATGCTAGTCTGTTTCAGCACCAATAAAAAGAACAAGTGAATGAGCCCTGACATTGCAGGTGACAGTTTTAGGACCTGTAGTGGTGCAGTCAGGGTGGATATAGGGATACAGCCGGCATTTATTATTTATTATTTTGATTTCTTTTTTTAAAAAAAACCATTAGTGGCAAAATGCTATTCTTGGCAGTTTACAAGCAGTTAAAACCAAACTCAAGAAACAATAACACTAAATGACATAACATAAAAACTAGTGGCACCAAAACAGATTTTCATAATAAAGCGGACCAGGAGGCGAGGCAAACAGGGTCAAAGTGAAAGACCTCCCTGAAAAGTAATGTTTTCATCTGCTTCCTAAATGAGTACATGGAGAGGGCCAGGCATAGCTCCTCTGGGAGCTGATTCCATAACCTCAGTGTCACCGCAGAGAAGGCCCTACCTCTAGTAGATGGCTTTGGGCCCTCTCTCAAGTTGGCTACACAGAGGAGGCTGGCCTGAGAGGATCTGGTGGGTTGGGAAAAGGACCTTGGGGAAAGACATGTGGGGACTAGCCAGAAGTGGGGCGAGGTGATCAAATTTGCTCACACCAGCCACCAGTCTGGCTGCTGCCAAGTTTGTAGCAGGATCTTGTCCCTGCCTTTATTGTTTTGTTTTGTTTTGTTTATATACCGCACCAATAGTACAACATAATATTCTGGGTAGTGTGTAACAAGTGAAATGTAAATAAGCATAAACAAATAGAAACATCATAAAATAAAATAAAGTAATATACAAGGGGGGGTAAGATACTTTCTCCTAGTATCAGCAAGCACTCTTGCATTTGTAAAAATTATCTTTGTTCAAATTGTTGCAGCTATGCAAAATGACAACAGCTGCTGCCTTGTTGCATAGATTTTAAAAAATTTGAAAATTAGAACTAGATGGCTTATTCTTTTTCTGCATGATGAATCAGCCTGCCCGCCTTTAATTGCTCTCTCCCACTCTTTCTCTGCATAGTTTCACTTGCTTAGTTCTGAAAAGACACAGACATTTTGTGAAAATTGTGCATTCCTCAAAAAAAAAAAAAAAAAAACCTCCCACACAAAACAGTGCTTCATGTCTTATTCTTGTGCTGGAGCTGAAAAATCACATGGGGCCAGCAGTTTCTCAACAGGCTATCTCAAGGTGTTGAAACAACCTGTCTCATCAAAAATAACTTCGCAAGAATTCTCCACAATATAGACCAAGACTTCCGGCATGATAAGGAGTTTGCAGAATCAAAGAACAGAAGGGCCTCTTTGGGTCACTGAATCCAGCACCTGCCAAAGCAGGATTCAGTGCCCCAGAAGCTCCACGCATGGGAGGAAGAGGCCAAAAATGTCCAACAACAAGCTTGCCCAAAATGTGTGAATGGTTCATTTTAGAAAAAGACTTTTAGGGTATACAAAGCTTACATAAATCCTGTTGAGTTCTGATGAAAGAATTCTGTTGATTTTGTATACATTGTTGTTGAATTATTTTAACACATGGTAAATGAATCACTTGTCATCTTGTTGCCAAGATGTTAGTGTTATTAACACTTTGGATGCTTCCTATGTGGGATAATAATGGCGTTGTCTTCTTGGAAGTTCATTACCAGGCATTAATATGCTGTGGTCATTCCCATGTTTGGTGCCATTCCTATCCCCACCCTCATGTACACGGTGCATATAAACCCATGGCCCAAATATTCTGCCCGTTGACTCTGATTAAAAACCATCAAAGTTCAGGCTCAAATACATTTGTTAGTCTTAAAGTGTTAGGATACTTTGGTTTTGGTTTTGGTGATTCTTAAGTCTCCTTTGGATGGTGGGTTCCTCTACTGCTGTCTAGCTTTTGAAGCTCTCCTCTCTGTTGCACTCAGAAATCCTTTCTGTATCTTTTCATTGTCTTGTATTGGAGAAATATAAAAGGAGTGTGAATTTTCTCTCTCTAGCAAGTTTCCAGTGGCATTAAAGAAGCATCTTTGCTTTCTGCAATCATGCTTTACTCTTTTCTTTTGAACAAAAAGGTTTCATAGCATAAAATGTTTGGTGAAAAACTACCAGGAGGTGCAGCACTGGTTTCTCAAAGCCTTGTGTTTTGTTTTGTATTTTTAAGTCCTTAAGAGTTTCTCTTTCCTCCTTTTAAAGAACTGCTTTCTTTTCCTGCTCTGTTTTAGGGTATGCCCTGATACCATCCGCCAAATCTGAAAATTTCTCCGATTCAAGCCACAGTGAGATCTCTTCCCGATCCAGCATTGTGAGCAACTGTTCTGCCGACTCTATGTCTGCAGCCCTTCAGGATGAGAGGTGTTTGCCTCCGGCAGCAGTGGTGGTGGATTCAGCAACAGAAAGGAAAGAGCACCTTCAACCGTCCTCTGAATACAGTCAGCCTTGCCCTGGGTAAGAGATGATTGATTGACATGCGAAAGAGTAATGAGAAGATTTTCCATTCAAGCCATTTTCTGCCTAAGGTGTAATCACACTTCCAGGTAGCATTAGCCTACTGCAAAGCGTTTGGCACTTTGAAAAAGAAGCAAGGCATGCCTCTCTGCTCAGGGAATCTCCAATTTAGAATTTTAAACAGGCTGTGATTCTTCTCCCTCATGTCAGTTTTCCCCTTAAATTACTACCTTAATCCACATGCAACAAAATGCATGAAAGCAGTGAAATTTAAATAAACTGCCTCTGGTGCAGCGCTAGGTTTTTGAATGTTCAAAGATATTATCCTGGCAAACTTGAAAAGGCTCGCCAATGTACAGCATGAGCACGGTAGTTCATGACAGCCTTGTAATGGTTGGGATAAGCAAGTAGGAAATTGCCAATGTACAGCATGAGCACGGTAGTTCTGTAATGGTTGGGATAAGCAAGTAGGAAATTTGCTTCCAGGCTTATGCCTGTGGCATGTTGTCAAAAATCTAGTTGCCTTGCTTCTAAGAGAGGATGGCTGCTCATAGCAGAAGGCTGGGCAGTGCTGATTATTGTTAAAGCCTCCAAGGCCTGAAGCACTTTTACTGGCCTTGACTTTTCGAACAAAGTCCTGGGCACCTGCTGTTAATGTTATGCCGCAGTGTGGAGCTCAACAGCACCCTGTCTTTAAACTTTTACGCTGATGGACTGAATAATTAAGAGATGCCTACATAGGCACTGTTGTCAGCTCGTTTGTAACATGTTCATTCCTTTGTAGCCCAATCCAACTAAAAGTTCAACTTTTGGCAAAAATTTCCTCCCAGCTTTTCTCAGGCAAACACACAGCTAGCAAACAATGGGCAGAAGGAACTGAGGATCAGACAAAAATTTAATTGCAGTTTGTTTCTGTTTGTGATGCATCTGTTACCTCTTGCCATACAATATTATCCATGCTGCAGCCCTCTGAGTGCACTAACACAACCTCTAAATGTCCAGAGGGGTAGACGGTCCCCTTTTCTTCCCCAGAACTCACAGCAATGTACAGGGTTTCCCCCAGTGCCTCTCCCAACATTGTATGCACTGGACCTCATCTTGCAGAATTCCAGCAGGGTTGCTACATGGCATCCCTTCAGACCATAGACTTTAAAGGCTTATACTGATTTTTTAAAAATGGGATTGCTTCCATCTAGGAGAGCCTCTGGACTTGTGATTCCTTTCACTGTGTTTCTTAGTTTACTGCTCCAGGTTCAGAACTGGCTGGCGTGTTCATTTGCCCAAGTTCTTTGCAGTTAAAGGCCAAAAGTACACATGACATTAAATGTTTCATTGCAGTTACTCCTGGCTTTTTTTTCTTTCTTTCTGTTGTAGGGGGTAATTATTAACAGGCGCATAGATATATGTATGTCATTCCCATGAGGTTCTCCAGCATGGCTGGGGATTAGCTCTTTCCTGCTGACGTCCTCTGTTGCTCCCATGGGCATATATTGTGCCTCGTTTTCAGTGGAAAACACTGAAATGGTCCCTATCGATCTGTTACTAACAGCTTGGCCCTGAGGCATGTCTGAAATACAAGTGTTCATGAAGGTTGGAGATATCAAATACTAAATTCATTAATAAGTAAGCAAGTATTCTTTGCAGGTAGATACAGTTGTAGCATACAAATGTGTTAATTCGCTAGGGAGGATTGGTCTTTTTCTTAGAGAATACTGAGATATGTAGAAATCTTGCACCACAGTTGGTAAAACTTCGGAAGACTTGGCTCTCAGAAAATCACTCTCTGCAATAAAAAAACAGATGTGGTAACAGGTAAAGGACAAAATCATAAGTAAAGCTCCAGTGAAGACCCAAGCTGCACAAGCAACAGCTGCACCATAGATTGTAGCTGCATTGTCATTTATGCTGAACTGCAAACATAATGGCCAAAATCTTGTTGTTTAGCATAGTAAATTGCATGAGTAGGGGATCTGGTGAACTGATTCGTTGCTAGGTGCCACTGATTCAAATGGGCCTACTTTAATTTCAACTTACATTCGCATCGTAAGTCACATTTAGAACACATCCATTTGAATTAATGACATGGAGGAGCTGACTCCCTAAATCATCATTGATTCAGTGGGCCTACTCTAGGAACTGCTGGATAGCTCAATGGTTTAGGCATCTGAATGTGGAGCCAGAGATTAAGAGTTTAGTTCCCTACAGTTCCTCTTTGTCAGGGGCTGGACTTGATGATCCACAGATTGTAGCTTTTAGCTCTACAGTTCTAAGATGATGATGATGATGATGATGTGACTTAAGTAACAGGATTTGGGGCATTGTCTTGTTTTAAAATTATTCTTCAAACTTTGTTACTTTCTGGAGCGTAAAGGGCTTGTTAAAGGAGAGTAAACGTTTTACCATATTCCTTTAACACTGGATGTTGTCTGCATTGAAGTGCTTGAGTGTTCCCTTCATCGGTGCTTAGGTTTTCTTTCTATTTGTGTATTCTTCAATTTCAGTTGGCTGCTGTCTAGGCCTCCAGTGATCCGAGGGTTGCCCGTCCCATCTTCCATGAGTACGGAGGAAATTTCCCATGAGCACATCACTATAGAAACGGCAGATAGCGGTCGTGGAAGCTGGACCTCTTGCTCAAGTAGCTCTCATGATAACTTCCAAAATATCCAGAACCAGAAGAGCTGGGACCTCTTGACTTCTTATCGTCACACTCACCTAGATAGGGCCATAGCTGAAGTGGAACCATCCAGCTGCTGCCCCGAAGAGGCCCAGTTGCAGTCCCATGGCCACTCAAACAGCAGCAGGCAAATAAAAACTGGTGTGGAGTTTGACCAGGCCCGGCAAAGCTGGGCTTCGTCGAGTTCTCAGTCAGATACCCAGGAAGCCAACTATGGGACAATAAAACGAAGAGGACTCGACAGCTTAACAGCAGAATCAGCTGAGGTTTTGGACTCCAAAACAGGCAGTGACACAACGTACAAAACTGTGACTTCGAGTACAGAACGAGGCCTCATAGGTAAGCCAAATCAAAAAGCCTTGGAAGCATCTTGCAGATGCAATGTATTATGTTAGTAAGTTGCTGAGAAATGGCACCAGCAGATCTGGATGCCTGAATTGCATGTTAAAAATCTAGCTTGTAGGCCTGTTTTCAATCAGAATGAGTCGTCACATTTCCAGTCTCTTGGGAGCAGGGACAGAATTTAAAGTAATAGAACTACATGCTTTTTTTTGCCTCACTGGGAGGAAACTATGCTTATGGAACAAGCAGAGGGAATTTCTTTGTGACTGTCTTTACTTTCTGAGAGGGATTTCTTGCAGGTCTGTTTCTAATAAGGATTTGAGTTCTTGTTTCTTAAGCACTCATACACATTATACTGACTGTCACCAGGTTGGGGCAAAAGCGTCTGTGAGTGAATCCAGGTGTCTGAGAGATCCTCTCTAGTGCAATTCGGCACTGCTTGCCCCCTCCTCTTGCCTCCAGCACAGGAAGGAAATAGCCTACAGGTGTTGCTCTGTATTACCATCAGCCTGAATGTCATTTAGGGGCTGCATATCCTGGGAAATATTATTTGCCAACAACGGGCAGACATGATCCCTTTCCCCAGTACTAAATCACATTACTGAAGTTGCTAAAAATGTCATCACAGTGGTCTACAGCTTTTTCTGTCAAGGGAAGGTCTGTATTGTGGTGATTCCTGTATTGAACACAAATGTTGATAAGAAAGTGATAAAAGATTTTATCTAACATAGATGTTATGAGAGGAGCCACAGTACTGGGGATGCTTTTCATTGTCTTTTTTCACAGCACAAGAAATACTAAAATTGAGTCCAATCCTTCTCATTCTGCATATGGATACAGTTTGGCTTGCTATGGCCCCAAGTTCTCAAATGCAATGACTATACTCCTTTGTCCCATTCATTTCTTACAAGTACAATTAGTAGAATGGAAGGGGAGGGTTTGGGGACATCTGTACCACCCCCCTCCCTTCAAACATCAAAAATAAAATAGATCAGAATAAATTAGCAAGATTGGGATTTTAAAAATACAGCTCTAAGGATCTCTCCCCACTCCTCTGTCATGCCTGGTCCCCTTCAGTGGAAGCTTAGCAGGATGCCGTCCCCACAGAAGCCAGCCCTTTTATGATGATGTATGTCTGTTTTCCTTCAACCCAGGACCCTTCAGACCCTCCCTTCACCTCCACCAAGCATTATTTACCATGCTAGCTAGGGATGACAGATGTTGTAGATTGCTCACCTAGAAGGTTCAGCTGATGTACTGAAGGAAGTCAGCTAGGTGAATGAATTCCCCTGAGTCTGTAGAAAGACAAATCAAAGAAGTTAACATTCAGTAAACGTCTATACTATCTTCCTGTGACGATGATAAGGCAACAGTGGTCGGTTTTTAAAACAGAAAGAAAGGAGATGCATATATGGTTTCAGGTGCCCCCTCTTTTCTGCTTTCCTTTCCAATGCATGTTGCTTTCTGCTTCTAGATATATACCTGCCTCTGTAAGCTCTTCAATGCAGCCACAGCGGCCCTACAAAGTTCTTTGCCTCTTACCCCTATGCCAGTGTTCAGTGAAAAAAGCCCAGGGGTTAGTTCATTTACCACGGTGGATTGTCTTGCATGCAAATACAGTTCCCCTGACCATGTGTGAAATACATGGATATGGGAGAAGAAAGTTCATTAATATATAGGACCTTTGTACAGAGATGTTTGGGAAGCCCTTAGCTAATTGCTTTTAAAAAGTTTAGAAGCACTGAAGGGGAGTAATGGTAGTTAGTTTGAGGTAGTGAATTTGACTCTCACCCTCTCTTTATGCATTGCTAGGCTGCCCACATTTGTTGGGAGGAGGTAGCAGATATGCTGCCCTGGATGGATCTTGAAACGGCCAGCCTACCTTCCATGTTTGGTGCTACATCCTGTGTTTTTCCCATAGAGTTTCCCTATCCCAGCCAGCCCCAGAACAGATTTAAGGAGGTTATGATGAACAGCAGCCTCCCCGCCATCACTGCTTCCACCAACAGGAGGGTCAAAAGCGGTTCTAAATGCTTGGATACCATCACTGCTTCCACCAACAGGAATTCCTTGAGAATGGAGTTCCTCTGGGAAGTTAGCACCCAAGTGTCTGAACTCTCTTTCCTTTTTATTTTAAAGGACATTTGAAGCATAGCTCATTCCTAGGGATAACAATAATGTTGATGGCAGCTTTAACAGATTTAATACATGGAAATAGAATCAAAGTCCAACAGTCCTACCTGTTGTACTATGGAGTGCTCCAGTTTACTCTGCCAACCAGGCATGTCTCCTTTTGATATACAGTGCTGCCTCGCTTAACGAGTGCCTCGTTTAGCAATGAATTTGCATAACGATGTGTTTTTTTAGAAAATAATATGCACCATATAACGATGTTTCCTATGGGCGATTTTCGCTTAGCGAAGTTTGGGACCATGCTTCGCATAACAAATGCGATTTTAGGTCCCCTGCTTCACTTAACGATGTTTCTTTTTTCAATTTAAAAATTATCTTAGAAGGGTCAAAAGCGGTTCTAAATGCTTGGATTCGTTAGAGGACCCCCTAAGTCATGTGCAAACCTGATTTGGCTTTGATCTGACTTTTCGTTAATTAACTTTTGCATCCGTTTTAGAGGGTGCAGAAGCTAATCCAAGCATTTAAAACCATTTTGACCCTTTTATGACACACTTAAATTTGCAAAAATTGACTTCGCAAAGCCATTGAAATGTATTGAGTCGGCTTCAATACATTCCAATGGAGGAAACACTGTATCGTTTAACGATGTTTCCTATGGGTTTTTTCGCTTAAGGATGGCAATCCGTGCCTATTGGAACGGATTAACCGGTTCCCAATGCATTCCTATGGAAAATGGTGTTTCACATAACGATGTTTCACATAACGTTTTTTTTTTAACCAATTAAAATCGTTATGCGAGGCACCACTGTACTCCATTCCATTCTCCCCCCCCCACATTGTTTTCCATCCCTTAGAGACAGCATTCTGTTGTAACTGAGTAGACTCAGTCCATGTTGGGCTGCTTTGGATCCCCTCTCCCATATATATAAAGAGATAGAGATATATAGATAAACACACACACACACACACACACACACACACACACACACACACACACACACTTGTATTTCAGCAAACTTCAAAGATTCAACACGTGTTCAGATTGGTGCTCAGATTCCATCTTTTTTGTGCACAGATGGACTTAGATAGGTTTGGATTCAGTGGCCTTATAGGTCCCTTCTAACTAAATTATTCCATACTTGCCTTTGGGAATGATAGTGCCCCTGAAAGGTGTGTTGTATGGTGCCTGGTAGAAAATGAGAATAAAGCCATAAGACTGGTAATCTGTAGGCAATAAAACGAAGTTCATGATTCACAAACTGAGAATCCCTGCTCTAGCAACTAGTCCATTCCTCCTGTCCCCACCTGACCCTAAAACTGACATTCACTTTGTTTTAATACCAGTGTAAACAGGATGGTCAGGGCTCAAATTGAAGACAAATAAATTAAATCAAGGCAGGAATAAATTCTCTTAGAAAAAGGAAATACCAAGAGGTGTAATAAAATTGAAATCTAATTAATTAACAATCGGCTAATACTAATTAATATGGTAATTAATAGTATTACCATCAGGGGGGCGATCATTTCTCCTTAGATCACCTTAAGGAGATGAAGACCTTGCCTTACACTTTATTCTTCACTTCAAGACAGCAAGAATATTATTGAACACTGGGGTATGCAACATCCATCTTCATGTAATCCAATATTCTCTGCCCATTCTTTCTCATAACTCCTCTCAGTTTTTCTCTTCTCTTTGATGTTTAACCAACTGCCTGTTTTGCTCATATTTTGAGATTTAGATCAGTGAGAAACATACAAGCAAGAAATGTTTGGAAACAAAGTCAGCAGAAAACTAGAACCTAGAAGGGTACACCTACTTCATCTTTTATTGTAGCATTTCCCAAATTTCTGCTTCTAATTGATTTGTTCCATTTATTATCAACCAAAAGAGCCATACTAAAACCTGTGGCGATAACATGGCTTTTAACATTTAATGTCTATAGACCAGCTTTCAGTCTTCCTCTTCCATTGAGCACCAAGCTGTTAAAAATAGAAGCTTTCACACTTCCTGTTGCCAGTTGTACCTTTTCTCCCAGTAAATAAACGTAATCTTGACATTGGGCATGCCACGACCTAGATGCCTCACAATTGTTTTGTACTATTATTTCCGATTCCTGGATGAGACCAAGAATGTTATTACTTGATCATAACATTTCAGCTGCCCTTTTTGCTTTTCCTTTCCAGTGCTTGTACCGCAGCTGCTTCAGAGTTTTACACAGGCAAGTGGTAGACAGCTGTCTATAGATGTGCCAGACAGCTAGAGTAGTAAGTTACTTAGGATGACTTGACAGTGGTGTGACGCTAGAATACACCTTAGAAAAAGTGTTGGCTGTTCTGTGTTAAGACCCATGTGGGTGTGATTCAGATTACAGAAATGATCTTCCAGTGGTGTTACTGAATGAATTTAACCCTTCAATGGTAGCTTCAAGAGTGTCGAATTGATATTTAATTTGTTAGGCAGAAAAATCTCTCTGTGACTTGGACAACAAATTTGTATTCTATTGTTAGCACCACTTGTCAGTCTTAGATGAATTAGAATGCTCTTGAAAATAGGGGAAAAAAGTCATAAAGGCATCTAAGTTTGTAAACTAAATTCATGGGTCAGTATCCTGTTCACTATTTCTGCACTTGGACTGCAGAACTGCTACTACAGAAGCTACGATGACATTCTGATGAGGTGCTGGTTGCGTGCTTAATTCCGTGACCCAATGAGTGGCATGGCTACACATGACCAGCACCTCATCAGATCATGGTGACTGCTTCTGCAGTTGGAGTTCCATGTGCATAAATGCTGAAGAGGATACTTGTCATGGGATGAGTGTAAAGGTGAATCACGAGATCAAATGTGGGCATTTTCATGACATGGGTTACTACCAGTGTTCTTGGCATTGATACAGAGCTGGTAAAATAATTATTAGTGGAACTTCGAGATAATTTTCAAAAAGAAGTTGTTTACAGATGTTCATAGCTGAAATATGTTGTTCCTTCTTGGCATTTGGTGGATGGCGTCTTGTCAGTTTTTCAGAGTCACATCAGTAATACAGGGGAAACCATATTTCACCTACCATATTGATCCTGATGGTTTTCATGTAAGGCTTGTGTAACCTGTAGTGGCTAACTGTGGCTAATGATGAGGTGCTAGAGCACATCTTTTTGGCATAGCCAGGCATGTGACATGACCAAGACACACTGGCCTCTTGTCAATTAGGCAGAATTAACTATGGGAAGTTAAACAAACCTTACGCAAACACCAGTAGGATTCCAGCTGTACCGTAAAATACATTACAAAAATGAGAGAAAATATCAGGAAAATTAGCTGAAATAATGAATGACATGCTTTTTAAACTGCGGAATCAGCCAAACTGTTGTCAAATGACTTTGCTTTGAAGGCTTACATGGAATAAAGAATATGTGGCATGGCTATATTCATCTAAGATGTATTTACCTTGTCTGTCAAGGCTACATAGAAGATACTACAAAACAAATTGTGTGCCAGCATATTATTGAACCTGGTTTTTCACATATCACTGTAAGAATTGTGCAGATCTAGGTTTTTGACCATGTTGGTGGAATTCTGGGAGTTATAGTCCAAAACCATACATTTGCACAGTTCTGCTAAGAATGCATTCCTATCATGCCAAACTTTTTCAGCCTTTGTATTAACTTATTTATCTTCTATTTCAAAACAGAGTTACCCTACCCCAATCTCCCAGTAAGGTTTTATGTTCTCTCTTGAGTTTGTGGTGGACCTAGTGTAGAATGTATTTCTACTGCTGGCTGGCTATTTGCAATCTGTTAAGGTCAACAGATCTTACAAGCACGGCTTCATCTCCTTGAATCTAGTATTCCTGCTTCTGTACTGTGTTCTATTTTCCTGTACTGCTGGTAGTTAACGTTCAAAACCCTGCCAATAGCATTTTATAACCAATGATTCTACATTTACCTTTTGTTATCAGTTTTCAGTTTAGTCATTGTTAACATTTCACTGTTTTTTTTTAATAAAAATGCCTTTTATTTTCATTTGTTTCTTTCATTAACATTTCCATTGCTTATTTCTTGTGCCAGTGTACTGTGTCACCTCACCTAAGGAAGACAATAGGTATAGGGAGCCACCTCCCACCCCACCAGGATATATGGGGATTTCTTTAGCGGACATAAAGGAAGGATCACCTCACCACCCACACCTAAAACCTCCAGACTATAGTGTGGCGGTGCAGAGGTCAAAGATGCTGCATCATAGCAAGCTCTCTAGGCTCTCCTCCACTCCTCTGAGTAGCGAACCAGTGGCCTGTTTTCCAAAGAAGATGCCTCAGTGGCATAGCCGACAGCCGGCCCGTCCCAAACTAGCAGATATGACTGACGCAAATAGTGAAGAGGATGGTATGTGAAAGATCTCGTTTGATAGCTCTTTAGTAAATTTGGTGTGTACTTCTGTAAGTGTGGGCAATGCGCAAACTGTCTTATTTCACAAAGAAACACCTTCAGTGTGCATCAGTAAATCTTTTCCTTTTAAATCATTTGCACATGCTTTACGACTGCTTCTTGTGAAAACACCCCCCCTCCCAATTCAGCAAATTTATCACTGCGCTAGTGATTAACCAGCACATTTGGAAATGCAAGTATGAAGCAGAGGCACAGAGTGGTCCAGAGTTCTCGTCCCTGAGTGACATAAAAAGAACAAACAAGCTGCAGAGTTTTAAAATGTATTTGGTGTATTTTTGAATGGCAGCAGAAATCAAACTAACAGCGTTTAAGTTGCCTTCAGGCATTAGAGCAAGGATTCCAAACTTGTGGGCTCCCAGTTGTTGCTGGACTACACCTCCCAGAATCCTTGACCATTAGCACTGGCTTGGTGGGGCTTGTGGTGTTTGAAGTCCTGCAATATCAGGGACCCATTACATTGCTGTAGAGTTTGAATTAAGATGGAACCTCATGACTTTCACGGGGAGATGACCATCTGAAAATGTTCCATAAGCGGCTCTAACCAAGTGCAGACCTTGTTTTCTTAAGGCTTCTGTCATGTACGAAGTTGAGCCTTTCCTCACATGCTACTCAGCAGGAGCGTTATAAGGCCCAGAACCCCAAATAAACAGGCTCAAGAAATGACTGGCTGTCCACGCAGGTCAAGCTGCAACTTAGCACAGCGTTACATAAGAGGTGCCCACACAATAAATTAGTTCCTATCCTATAGAGTCTGAGGACACTGCTCTCTGGCTGGAAACGGCTGAGGCTTTAAATTGCAGTTTCAATTGTTTACAAGGAATATTTAAAAACCTCCTAAAACTGCTTTGTGGGCAAAATCAAGCCCAGAGGGACTTACTAATTGGACCACACTGGTACTTTGTACTTGACCCTCCCGTTCTAAGCCCTGTACACCTCAGCAACCATCTCCTAAAGGGCTGAGTTTACAAACTCACAAGATTTAAAAGGAATCAAACATGGAGGCTTTACATTTTTTTTCTTGCTTCAAGCTTATCTGTTGCAAGTACACCTTTGATTTTTTTTTAAACTTCATTTCATTTGTACTCACTTTCTGTTGTCCACCACTTTTGGTTGTCCATTTCTTTGCACAACCCCTCCCCCATTTTAATTGAATGCATGAATTGTAATGTCTTTCACGCTCAGATTGTGCTTTTACGAGATCGGGATTTCAGCATAAATGTGATCTGACAATGCTTTCTTGATTTTAAAATTGTCTGACAGCCACTTTCTGTTGTCCACCACTTTTGGTTGTCCATTTCTTTGCACAACCCCTCCCCCATTTTAATTGAATGCATGAATTGTAATGTCTTTCACGCTCAGATTGTGCTTTTACGAGATCGGGATTTCAGCATAAATGTGATCTGACAATGCTTTCTTGATTTTAAAATTGTCTGACAGTTTTGCTTCAGTATGTTTATAGCTGTGCTTGTCTTGTCCCATGTTTTAAAAGAGTGGGGAGGGGCTTGAATGGAAGTAGACACTTCATGCATTATTGTGCGGGATTGTTTCCATGACGTTTCTAAAACTCTACCCTTAGAGACTCAGAGACTCAGTAAAAGGGTTCATCTTAACCTGTTTGTGGAGAGAGCAGACTAGCCCCTCCCTTCTGGTCTTACTCTTGCACATAGAGAGCTAAATTCTGAAAACTGGAGTTCTGGATCAAGCAGATATCCCAGACACATATCTGTTTGATCTGGAACCCCAGTTTTCTCAGTCTTCTGATCACACAGAGAAACCCCAGAGACAGCGGCTGCTCTCCACATGTGAGAGCTACATCAAAAGGTGGTTCATGGGTTAGCATGAATCTTGTTACTGAACACCTGAACAGGGGTTATTAATGTCTCTATACACGCACACACGCACGCACGCACGCACGCACGCACGCACACACACACACACACACACACACACACACACACACCAAATATCAGAATCCTGTATTATTTTAAATTCTATTTGAAGCACCTTACGTTGGCCATGTGCCATGATGAGAGTGTAAGGAGCACAAGCTGGCCTAGACAGAAACCATTGCCTATAATTATGCAGTCACATAATTCAAATATCTATGAGCCAAGTTTGTTTTGATTTAAAATAAACTCTGCTGATAAAACTTCCAAGTCTAATAAGTGATTCAAAAGAAGATGTGTTTTATTTGTGCTCTGGCAGTTAATCTCCTCTGCATGTTGTTGCTTCTCCAGTGAATGTATGGGTTTTTTAAAAAATACTTTAAAGTTTGTTTTAAAAACCTATATCAGAAATTTGATAAAGTGAACTCCTGGCAGAAAGCAGCTTAACAAGTAGTGAGGAAGCCATAGATCTAGCATACTCACTTCAGTAAATCATTTCTTATTTTAAATCACTTCATCACAACAGATTTTGCCAAAGCTGGCAAGCTATTTTCTCATTTTTGTTTACTTCAGGGTTAGGAAACATTTGGCCTTCAAGAAACTCTTGGATTGCCCCTGTCTTCATCCCTTACCATTAACGACACTGGCTAAGTCTAATGAGACTCCAGCCTTTGTAGGGTACATGTCACATCAGGCATAATTTGTCAAAAGCGGCAAGCAGAGTGTTTTGAACTAGGAAAACGTCATTGGAGGGCAATACTCAGTTGAGAGTGGGTATGGTCAGAGTGTTGATAGAATATAGCACATGCTCATGTCATAGACAGTTTACAATGTTTTTCTTGTTTCACAGAAGATGAACAAGTATCAGCCGTCTAGCCTTTGAGCTTCCTGTGAAAATTGCCTCAAGTCATGATAACGTCACAAGAAGAAATCATAAAATACTGTTAGCTGTAGCTGACAGCTTGCTGCTATTGACTTCAAAATGTTGCATTTGCCTCTCTTCGGAATAGTATGGTGAACTTCTGTAAATCATAATCTTGAACTGCCGAGATCCTTTCTGCAGCCTGAGAAAATTATTTATAGCTGAAAGAGACAGACAACTCATTCTAAGGAATACTGACCCTGTATCCCAGAAACCAATATCCAGAAGGACTTAACCTTTTAAAACACTGGGGCCACCTTGGGAACATTCTTCTTGTAGAAAACTCTGTTGCATCATTTGTTAGACTTGGCTCAAATATTTTCTATATGACCATTATGGTTCTTGGTTGAAGAATGTTATTTTATGTACTTACAGAAACTACAAAACTTCAGCAAAACCAAGGAAAATTCTGCAGCTATCTGAAGAGTAATTTATTACTTTGGAGTTTATGTAAGGTTTCTGTTTGTTTGTTTGTTTATATGTTTATTGGAATGCTCTGGTTGGCTAATGTGAATGCTTTTACAAAGAAAATAAGGTAACAAATTACTTAGGTGTTAGTGAAATGTCTTAGGCAAAGCAAAACACACCAGACGTCCAAGGAACTGGATGCTCATGCCTATTTTGTAAAATGCCAAGCCTCTAAGGTGTGTGTAAAGTGTGCTTTAATATGCCTACAGTAATGGAATACTGCCATCTGTTGGTCCTGTATTTTAAGCCTAGTAAAGTACATGTGACCATCCTTTCAACTATCAAGCGATTAAGGAAGTATCTGCAGTTCTTTTCTCTCCCATTTCCTGTCCTTCAGCTGAACTGACTCGTGGTGTGTTTTATATGTTGTACAGCGCTATCTTGGGAAGAACCTGCCAGGTGCAAGTCCCACCAAACAAAAACAAAACTGAAAGAAGCACAAGGAGATATCCACTCGTTATGAATTGTGCCACGGGTTTTGGAACTTTCTTTTTTTTTTCCAGCGAGGCTTGCCCTGGGGAAGTGCCCTCAAGTTATGCTCCTCAGGAGCAAACCTCAGGTGTGTGAAACTTGGAAGTAGAACCACAGAATTTGGGAATGTTAAACTTTGGTTCTTTTCCTTATAAGAACCATAACCTTGCAATTCTTGGGCACTTTTCCCTTTTCCAAGTTGGGGTTACTTGCTCTCCCATGTGACCAGATGCACTCTCCACTCATGAGTTCGTACCATCCAGACTAAGTCCTTGAGAATGGGTTGGTGGCTAAGCCCCAACAGGACCTAGTTCCCATGAAGATCTGTGCGTCACCTGTGAGACTTTTCTACAGCCACATGAAGAAGGAATGAAACAAAGCTTATCAAATGACTTACAGCCATTGAGAAAGTTGAATATTTGCACTGCGGACTACTATAAATGTACCCTTTGCCCTGCAGCCATTTGTATTTCAGCTTCTAGACCATCCCAGATCGTTTCCTAAACATATTGAATACTTGAGGTATAGGGTCTTTGCATATCAATTGATCTAACCTGAAAGAGCCTGTAAAATGAAGAAATACCCCTCCTTAAGACCCCAGTTGAGATTCTATCTGTGGTGAAAACAAAATTGAGAGATAGGCAGAGATTAGGGCTACATCAGCTCTGGGCTTTGGAGGAACTTTGAAGCCACTCAAGTGCCTCAGAAACCCTAACTTGACTGCAAAATCTAGTCTTCTCCCCTGCACCATTCTTGGGTGCTGGGTCTCAGACATGGCCTGAAACAATGATTTTTGAAGCATCTCTGGACCCCAGCAAAATTGCAGACATTTCTGGTTTTGAAATACGTTCTGCTGTATGTATAAGATGCTCTGATGCCTAGTGTTTCTTTAGAGATAAGATCTCAATTTGCCTGAAGTTGACACAATTATCAAGATAACTGTTTGCAAAAAGTTGTGGCCCACCGGTTCTTATGTATTATATATACTTTGTATATAAACATACTTTGCACACATATTATGCAAAGAAAAGGGACAAAACAAAGTATTGTTTGTTTACAGTGAAGCTGGGTTGAGATTGAGATTTACATAGCCAACCAGAGTACATGGAGAAAAACTGGATTTATCTGCATTTAGTTTCTTCCTCTAGTGCATAATGATGGCCCACTCAAACATTATAAATAGATACGAATGTGTCAATGTATATTTTGAGTTTACTTGTAGATCTCAGTATCGCAAATGTTTACAATCTAAGCTAGAAGGAAGATGTTTGTCAGTTTTAAAGGTGCCTCAGAGTAACTGATTTTATATGCTTAGAGTTATAAAGAGCTTTCAGATTTTCTTTTGTGTGAGGCAAGTGCAGCATATTCTGGTAGAATCCAAACAAGTACCGAAAAGAGAATGAAGCCGTAAGACCTTCTATGTTCATGATCCATATTGGCTTAAGTGAATGCTGTCCAACCAGAGACTATCCTGTGGCAAACCAGAAAATGATTGAAAGTGGTGAAGAAGCTACCTAATTCATAATTTAATTGGCTTACCAGGGTAACACTCAAGCCTTAAGTGTCAGGAATAAGTAGCTGAGACATCTGGCTGCTCCTTTTCTTCCTTTCAAGGCCTTAATGAAAGCAGTCCCCAGAATTGAGTAATAGTACAACCCGATTCAGCTTGGCATCTATGGTTTCAGCATATGTAATAATGTTGACATGGGCTCAATCCACAACTAAATTTCTCTGCCCAAATTCCATTTATTAGAAGGTCTACCATCATGCAGCTTCTGTTGATTTCATGAAGAACTACATAGGGGTGGTTTCCTGATTTATATCATAAGACACAATCTTAGAATGCCATAATGGAGCAGGGAAGAAACCCACCCATAGCCAGATGTGGCATTAACATTTCTTACTGCAGCAAACACCCAGCAGAATGGACAAACTGCTATTCTGTTTAAATCTGAAGGTTGCCTGGAAATCAGTGGATGGGTTGAAGTAAGAACGTTTGTTCCTCTAGCTCCTCATGTTCTTCTCAACAGGTATTCTAGAGATCTCTGACAGCCTTTCTTGCCAAAACCAAGCTTGTAAACCTCAAGCCTTATTTACCAGCAAGTTGGGCCCAAGTGTAGTATCAAGTGGTGCATATGTTCTACCTTAACAGAAATTGCAAACATACAATATGGTGCTTGGGGCCAATGTTGTAATGGAATGTCTCAGTAACCTCAAATATTTGTTCCAGCTTACAAGAAAAGAATACTAAAGGATCAAAGCCTTTCCCCATGAGGTAATACTTTTTTGTTTTATAAAGCCTGATGCTCTTTACGATTTACATCCTCAACAAATCTCAAGTCTGCTCTGCTCACCTCGCGTTCTCGAAGGCTTTCACGGCTTGGATCCAATGATTGTTGTGAGTTTTTTGGGCTCCAGAACATGGCCAAATAACCTGAAAAACCCACAAGAACCATCTGCTCACCTCATTTGAAGTTCATTGAGCCAGCCTTTTGTTGTCAGTTTACCCTCTGAAATTTATTGCTTTCCTTTCCACAGCATCAGTAACATTCAGGTTTTTTAGAACATTGGTTTTAAAAACTGATGTATGTCTTGTTCATCATTTTGTATATAGAGCCTGTATTGTAAATATGCTCTGGATAAGTGAGCTTTTTTAACTGCTTCATATTTGCACAGTGTGGGTTGCCCCAATCTATCCGTGCCCTGATCTATATTTATTTATTTGCTTTGCTTTTTAAAAATGAAACATCAGCCGATCACATTGATCAGGGACGTTGGCCAAGATGCAACCAGGCTTAGATACACAGAATCACTGATTACTAACTCATTTTCTATGCTGTGTACATATTGTGGAAATCAGAATGTATCTGTAGCATCCCAGTTATGTTCTGTGCTCTTCTTTTTTCCTCTCCCCCTCCCCACTTTTTATTCTTGGTCATTTATCCAAGTCTAGCATCCATCATGGGGTTTTGGTCACCTTCTCTCTGTGTACATCATTTATGCAATATATTGTGAAGAGAAAGTCTCAAACAAAACTGGCTACCTCTCTTTAAAGCTCACTAGGGATCTTTTAGAAACATCAGACATAGAGATAGTATAGGTGTTTGCCTCTTCATTTTTACATGAATAGAGCATAGAGCACAGACACAGTTCTGACTCCTGTCCTCTGAAGATGCTGGCCACAGAGACTGGTGAAATGTTAGGAAGAAAAACCTTAAGAACACGGCCAAGCAGCCCGGAAAACCCACAACAACCATTGGATTCCGTCCATGAAAGCCTTCGAGAATACATTAGCAGGGATAGTTTTCAATTTAAATATTTGGAATCATTTCTCAGGCTGTGATTCCGCTGCAGAGTTAAGTGGTTCTAAATTGTGCAAGATGGTGTACCCCATAAGATGTAATCCTCCCAGTTAGGTTTTTTGAGGAAGTGAAATCCATAAAAGAAACACAGCCCAATCAAGCACAGGTATCAGTTTCCTATAATACATATTTTCCCCAATGTAATTTTTTAAAAGAATATTATTTTTCTGTTGCCTTCAAAATGTAATGATGGGGGAAGGAGACCAGTACTCCCAAGTTGACTAAATAGTAAAAGCTATTTAAAAGTGGAGTTGCGAACAAGTTCAACTTTAGTTTCACCTCTCCCTCTAACCTGGTCGTTTGTGTCATTGTCTTGTCTTTAATTTCTTTAGATATACATGGAATGCAGTTTAGCTTGATATTAATGACGTTTTGCATACACGAGTATATGGGCAAAACCTGCACAGTTGTAATGGTATTCCAATAGCAATTGTAAAACTGCACAAGTCAGTGATTGTAAAGTATTCTGTAACAAGCAATGTTTGTCTTCTATTTTTTGATACCTCTTACACTTATGTCTTTTAGAAAGACAGTGCCTCTGTATGCTTTTTTGTATTTTTACTGAGTGATTGTAAATATTTGTTATATTTTTGGTTAAGAGAATGTTTAAAAGTACTGTTTAATATCCAATCTACTAATGTTGTTGGAACCAATAAATGACTTAACATGGATTCCTGCGGATGATTTCTCTGTATCTAATTATGTGATTCTTCCTGCCTTCTGTTGCCAAGTACGTTGCCTGCATTCACATACTTATGAGTAAATTCTGCTAAATTAGGTCAGATTTTCACTGTATTATGTATAGCAGTGAATGCACTCAATCCATGACTCCCCCATACATGCAGCCACGCCAAAAACCTATTGCATGCCTCCATACTTCTCTCCACAGTCTAGTACTACTAAAATACTGCATCCTCACCCCAAACCAGGGTCCCTGCTTCTGTGTCCTGATGGAAGAAACATTTTTTCATGACTTTCCCCTCAGCTGTTATAGTTATTGTGAGCCATCAAGTTGCTTCCAAGTGAATGCAATGCTTATACAGTTTTGGAGGTTTTCAAGGAGTAATTTACTGTTTCCATAACAAGACAGGAATTTGAACTCACATCTCCTGGATCATATTCTCAGAGACTCAAAAACATGCTAGCAAGGGCAGGGTGTGGAATCGCCCTAAAGCAGCCTTCCTCTGCAGTGAGTGTTCAAACACACACTTTCCCACACACACCCATAGTCATATGAATATTTAGTACTTCCTGCAGGAATAGGATACAATGCCCCCCAACCAAATTGGATACTCATTTTACCAACCTTGCAAGGATGGAAGGCTGAGTCAACCTCAAACCAGCTGTCAGAATCCGTTGGTACGCTGACTGTGAGCAGAGTTTTAGCTGCAATACCAGAGTTGAATCACTTTCGCACAAGCCTCCTGCTTCAGCAGGAACTGAAGTCCCAACGTCTCTCTTTGCAGCCAGATACCTAACCACTGAGCTATCCAACCAGTTAATGACACTGTAACCTAACAGTAAAACCACAAAAATGGTTCTAACTTTTGATGTATCTTAACTGCCATCTGGAGAAAGGGACAGTAGTCTATAAAACCAATGAAACTTGTTAATCTTAAATGTATACAAAAAGTCTCGAAGATCAGTGATGACTGATGCACATGGATTATCCCACAAGTGCAGATTAATGTGACATAGAGATACAGTAAGACCGCAGTACCCACAAAAGTTGATTCCAAGCCCCCCACGAATGCCAAAAAATGTGGAGGTATCTAATCCTATGTATTGCATAGTCTCTGGCTCCTTCTAGTGGCTAGTTCTAATAAATACACCCTGGAAATATGTATAAATGTGTATTTCTGGTTTTTTTTTTATTTAGTATTTTCAGGCAGCGGATAAGTGATTCAGTGGATACTGATCCTGCAGATGGGAGGGCTACTGTAATTCTTATGGCCAATTTATTATGTGGTTGTCACACGTCTGGTGACTCACCTAAGTTATTTCTTGGATGACACACAACGCAGTTTCTCTCTGGAGCTGATGCTTTACCACACTTGTATTCAGGGATGTTGCCAAGTCTTTGAGTCCAAGTCTGAGTCTTTGGTACCAAGTTGCAAGGCCCAAGTGAGAGTCCCTATTAAAAACAAGCTTCCCGCCCCCCCCCAAAAAAAACCAGAGGAAGTAAGAGGGTTCCAAATCACAAGTTGAGTCCGAGTCACTGAAACAAAACAACAACACCCAAGTCTAGTCACCAGTGCAACTTAAGTCTGACTTTATAGCAAGCCTTGAGTCCCCATTTGAATACCTCTCAGGTCTTATTCTTCACCAATAAAGCCTTCAAGGACCCAGAGTCATAAACACACCACTGTGAAGTGGCAAAGGAAGACTTTATGGAGGAACAAAGAATGAGAGAAGTGAGCAGTTACTGTCAAGCTGATTCCAACTTCTGGTGACCCTTTCAAGATTTTCTAGGTGTAAAGTACCCTCTTTTTTCTGGTGGTGTTCTGGAACTGTGCTGCTTACACAAGGTTACACAAGCTGGCTCTTGTCCCAGGAGGCACAGAGAGGAATTGAGATCCTGCCCTCTGGCTCCGCAGCAAGGTACTCCACTCACTGATCTATCCAGCTAGCTGAGCAGTTGCAGAAAGCCTTTAAAATATACAATTAACTCATGATTTATTTTGGAGACTGAACTGCAATCCTATACATATCTGCTTGGAAGTAGATCTTACTGAGTTCAATGGGATTTACTTCTTGATGACTGGTAGAGGATTTCTACATGCTAAATTATACTGTGAATGTTTCCTACCGTTTTTGTGTCTGCCTACACTACACTTTGGGACGTGGTGGTGCTGCAGGCTAAACCGCAGAAGCCTGTGCTGCAGGGTCAGAAGACCAAGCAGTTGTCAGATCGAATCCACGCATCAGAGTGAGTGCCCATCGCTTGTCCCAGCTCCCGTCAACCTAGCGGTTCGAAAGCATGCAAGTGGAAGTAGATAAATAGGGACTACCTCGGTGGGAAGGTAACAGTGTTCCGTGTCTAAGTCGCACTGGCCATGTGACCACGGAAGATTGTCTTCGGACAAAACGCTGGCTCTATGGCTTGGAAACGGGGATGAGCACCGTGCCCTAGAGTCGAACACGACTGGACAAAAATTATCAAGGAGAACCTTACACTACACTTACTACACTACACTACACAAGGGACATGGTGGCACTGCGGGTTAAACTGTAGAAGCCTCTGTGCTGCAGGGTCAGAAGACCAGCAGTCGTAAGATCGAATCCACACGATGGAGTGAGCTCCCGTCGCTTGTCCCAGCTCCTCGCCAACCTAGCAGTTCGAAAGCATGCAAATGCTAGTTGGAGGCACAGCCATGAGGTGGTAATTAGATACCACCTCGGTGGGAAGGTAACGGCGTTCCGCATCTAGTCGCGCTGGCCACGTGACCATAGAAACTGTCTTCCAACACACGCTGGCCCTACGGCTTGGAAACGGGGATGAGCACCACACCCTGGAGTCGGACACGATTGGACTAAATGTCAAGGAGAACTTTTACCTTTACCTTACTCTACACTTGGAGTATCAGAGTAGCACAGAAAAAGCAAAAGCAAAGGTGGAGCAGAAGGTGGAGCAGGCGCTTGATGCCACACCTACCACCTCATTATGCATAACTGTAAGGCTGGTTCTGAAGTTACCTTCTTGACAGTGCATGTTTCTCCTGCCTCTACCTCCCCCCTGAAATCTCCAGGTTTCACCATGTTGAAATTAAAAGTTACACTTAAAAAGTTGTCTATCAGCAAATATTGTCTCTCAGTTTCTATACTTAATTGGCATGAAACCAATGTTTTTTGCTGCCACTTGCTGTGATTCGGAGTGACTGGGATCCTGTTTGCTTACATGCTCGCATAAAGATGATTATGGACACACTCCCCTTTGTGCACCTCATCTCACCTTGGCAGCAAAAATGTGGATACTGCTGGTTATGTGACTCCTTGCATGAAAGGGAGGCCAAACAACAACAACACACTGAGCATCTGCCCTTGTGTGCACAATCTTCCTCCAATTGGATTTTGGTCAGTGGCATGGGGTGTGGATAGTAAAATTTATACAGGGAAAGAAGTGAATAAGCTGTGAATGCAAACGTCTGCCATGAGAGGGCAGCAATGCATATATTTTCAATTTTTTTCACCTACATCTCACTTGACTAATCAAGGAAGCAGCAAGAACTGCAGTAACCTAGGGTTGAGATGTTTATGTTTTAGGGGAAAGGGAAATGCATGTCAAATATATAGCAGTACTCCTGGAAGGGCAATGGACCCAAGAATATGATGCAGCCTCCCACAACTGACCATCTTAGGTCTTAATTGCTGCTTCCTTCCTCCACAGAGGAAAAAACGTTCAGCAAAATCACAGGATATCTATTAAAAGCTCTTTTCAAAGGCAGCATAAATGTTCCAGTGGACAAGCAAACCATGGGCTTGACCGTGCTGCCTATACCAGATAGGCCTGGTCCCATTTTGACAACAGCAAGAATGGAGGTAAAGGATTTAGACTTCTTTTGACCTGCCAACAATTATACAGCAAACTGAGCTGTGAAACAGAAGGAAAACAGCTGAAATGGCTCCCATTTCTTCCTGGTCATAAGTGTGGGGAGTGTGGGAATTAATTTTTCAGGCAGCGATGTAACACAAGGCAGAAAGAGGAAGGGACACTTAGGGCTTACATCAGAGATTCTTCTGGTGACCCGTGGGGATGTTTCCTGAATGGCCAGCTGACGTGCTAGACCAGTGGTTTCCAACCTTGTGTCCCCAAATGTTCCTGGACTACAACTCCCAGAAATCCTGGCCAACACAGTGAGT